AGGGCAATGGGCGGCGTTGTGGATCACGTAGGGAAAGTTTGGGCAAGGTGGATCACGTAGGGAAAGTTTGGGAAAGGCGGATCACGTAGGGAAAGTTTGGGAAAGGTGGATCACGTAGGGAAAGTTTGGGAAAGGTGGATCACGTAGGGAAAGTTTGGAAAAGGTGGATCACGTAGGGAAAGTTTGGGAAAGGTGGATCACGTAAGGAAAGTTTGGGAAAGGTGGATCACGTAGGGAAAGTTTGGGAAAGGTGGATCACGTAGGGAAAGTTTGGGAAAGGTGGATCACGTAGGGAAAGCTTGGGCAAGGTGTATCACGTAGGGAAAATTTGGGAAAGGGGGATCACGTAGGGAAAGTTTGGGCAAGGTGGATCACGTAGGGAAAGTTTGGAAAAGGTGGATCACGTAGGGAAAGTTTGGGCAAGGTGGATCACGTAGGGAAAGTAGGGGAAAGGTAGATCACGCAAGGAAAGTTTGGGAAAGGGGGATCACGTAGGGAAAGTTTGGGCAAGGTGGATCACGTAGGGAAAGTTTGGGAAAGGTGGATCACGTAGGGAAAGTAGGGGAAAGGTGGATCACGTAGGGAAAGTTTGGGCAAGGTGGATCACGTAGGGAAACTTTGGGAAAGGGGGAACACGTAGGGAAAGTTTGGGTGAGGTGGATCACGTAGGGAAAGTTAGGATAAGGTGGATCACGTAGGGAAAGTTTGGGAAAGGTGGATCACGTAGGGAAAGTTAGGATAAGGTGGATCACGTAGGGAAAGTTTGGGAAAGGTGGATCACGTAGGGAAAGTTTGGGAAAGGTGGATCACGTAGGGAAAGTTAGGATAAGGTGGATCACGTAGGGAAAGTTTGGGAAAGGTGGATCACGTAGGGAAAGTTTGGGAAAGGTGGATCACGTAGGGAAAGTTTGGGAAAGGTGGATCACGTAGGGAAAGTTTGGGAAAGGGGGATCACGTAGGGAAAGTTTGGGCAAGGTGGATCACGTAGGGAAAGTTTGGGAAAGGTGGATCACGTAGGGAAAGTTTGGGCAAGGTGGATCACGTAGGGAAAGTTAGGATAAGGTGGATCACGTAGGGAAAGTTTGGGATAAGGTGGATCACGCAGGGAAAGTTTGGGAAAGGTGGATCACGTAGAGAAAGTTTGGGCAAGGTGGATCACGTAGGGAAAGTTTGGGCAAGGTGGATCACGTAGGGAAAGTTTGGGAAAGGTGGATCACGTAGGGAAAGTTTGGGAAAGGTGGATCACGTAGGGAAAGTTTGGGAACGGTGGATCACGTAGGGAAAGTTTGGGAAAGGGGGATCACGTAGGGAAAGTTTGGGAAAGGGGGATCACGTAGGGAAAGTTTGGGCAATGGGTGGCGTTGTGGATCACGAGGCTGAATCTTAAAACCAACAATATTTTCTTCTGTGCGAAAATTATGGTCAAACATTTCAAATGTTGTTTTCGCTTGTAAAAATAGGCGTATTCACAATCACCGATTTACATTTCAAGTAGGCTGTGTCTATCATATGGGCGGCGTTGTGGATCACGTAGGGAAAGTTTGGGCAAGGTGGATCACGTAGGGAAAGTTTGGGAAAGGCGGATCACGTAGGGAAAGTTTGGGAAAGGTGGATCACGTAGGGAAAGTTTGGGAAAGGTGGATCACGTAGGGAAAGTTTGGGCAATGGGTGGCGTTGTGGATCACGAGGCTGAATCTTAAAACCAACAATATTTTCTTCTGTGCGAAAATTATGGTCAAACATTTCAAATGTTGTTTTCGCTTGTAAAAATAGGCGTATTCACAATCACCGATTTACATTTCAAGTAGGCTATGTCTATCTTCGGCATTGTAATAATACTCTGTTTACAGTTGTAATGTGTATGTGTGTTGGAGGGGGGGGGGTGGACTTCGACCAACGAAACACGCGCAGCACATCCCGTCTAGACCTCAAGTCTTCGTTAGAAAACCATGTTACTGAAGTGATACATTTGAGGTGGAATTGTCTGTGTAAGACAGAGGTAGAAATTTTATTTCGTCAGATGTGTGTAGCTTTATGAACATGATTCTAGCATTCACCCCTCTCCCCTTTCTCCCCCCCCCCCCCCTGGCCACACTAACACACACACACACACACGCACGCACACCTCTTTTGGATTTAGTAAAAACAAATAAACAACTACGTTTTTAGCGCAATTTCCATTCTGGAGAATTGCGTTTATTAACTCGTCATTTCTGGGAATGGATGGATGAATGTATGGATGAATGTGTGTCCGGGCTTTAAGTCGTATCTCCTCCTCAACGAAGCAATATAGATGACTAGTTCCAAAAGCAATTATGTTAAGCAAGTTACGAGAATGAGCATAGGCCATAAAAATTCCGGGTTTCTTTCATGTATTTCCCGGAAAAGCCAAAAAACCTCGAAAAAATTCAGTTTTTGGCCCATATCTCGGCAACCAGACCACTTAGCGACTTGAAACATGTACCAATCGATTCCTGCCATAATTTAGAATAATGTTGCCGAAGAAAGTTTTCAAAAATATCCTCTCGTTCGGTCACAAATTTTAAAATTACATAAACACCTACAAACCGATCGTTTTTCTAGCTTGAACGCACCTCAGCATTATACGTCAGAGCTATTTTTAGATAACATAAGGAAATTGCGCATAAATGTCACTAGACTTTTTTAATTAACTTGTTTTTTTCAGTTTTCAATAAGGAGCGAATCACTATAGTTTGACAAAATCGAAGTTGATCCGAGTATGATTGGCTGGTTTAGAAGTGGGGGGTGGGTGGGGGGGGGGGGGTGAAGATGGGACGACATGGAAGACACCAGCAGTCACCACCGGGGACCGGACGACCCCGCGCAACTTCCCGACGATACCCGTCTAGTGCAGCTCCGAATACCGGAGATTCCCGGAGCGTTTGTTTAGGTTTCACGTCTTCATCAGTTACATCTTTGGCGCCGCCTCGCGCGCACAGCGCCCTCTAGTATCCGTAACGTTGGACGCTGGAGCTCTTCTTTAAAAAAAAATACAGGAAACTTGTTATGAAAATAAGCGGGGAGGAGGGAGGGGGCTGTGGGATTGCTAGATAATTAGCAACATAATTCTTGTTTAGCGGAAGAAAAACGGAAGCGTAGGTTCAGTGAGGGTTGATCAGCCAGAACGACGACGTCAAGTACGGTTACAAAACAAACATTAAGATCTAGACTATACACAGTGGTGTTTGTATGGGGCTCAGGATGATAGAGTTGATTGTCTAGTATGAGTTAAAAAGAAAAATTAAGATCTTGACTATACACAGCGGGGTTTATACGGAGCTAAGGATGATAGAGAGGGACGGAGTGGTCTAGCGGTAGAGAGCTTGTCAGTAGACCGTCCCTGAGTCCGAACAACTCTGATGGGTACCTAACTCACGTTAGGAAAAGTAAAGGCGGCTGGGCATAGTGCTGACCACACTATCTCTTCATATACCGAGGTCACAGAAACAAGTGAACTCTACTTCACCTGCCCCATAGACCTTCATGGTTTGAAAGGGAAACTTTACTTTTACTTTACTAAGGATGATAGAGTTGATGGTGTTTGTATGGAGCTAAGGATGATAAATTGATAGGTAATGGATTTGTATGAGTTAAAAAAACCCATTAAGGTCTAGACTCTAGACTATACACAGCGGTGTTTGTATGGAGCTAATGGTGTTAGGGTTGATGGTCTAGTATGAGTTAAAAACAAGCATTAAGATCTAGATTCTAGATTATACACAGCGTTGTTTATATGGAGCTAAGGATGATACAGGCTATAGTGAGTTAAAAAATATTCCTAACAATCTAAACTGCATAGTAATGCAGTTCAGAATGTCATTTATAATCTTTTCCTATTTCGTTTGACGCCCTCGCAGAGTCGGCACCCATGGTGGCGGACCCACCTACACCGTCCCATTGCTACGCTTATGCTGTATTTTACCTTTTCGAAACTTAACATTTAATAAAACACTGGTTAAAAATATATTTTATATATAAATTACTTATTTTCCTATTGTGTTGATGCTTGCAATCTACGCTCTAAAATATGTATGTCTCTGCATTTGTATTTTCCTCCTCAAATATATTTAAATATTTAAAATTTTGTGTCAAACCACAATTTTATTTATAATATTTTTTTTTTACATATTCTTAAGGTTTTAGTATTTAAGAAACGGTTTCTTTTATTATAATGAATTTCAAGCTGCTCAATTTAATAATATTTACTTTCTCGTATATACGAAGTATAGAGAAAGTATTGTAATCGTGCACAAAAATCACTTGAAATTTTAACAATTTTCACCGTATTACACCTCAGTCCTTCATCACATCCGAAGTATAGAGGACTTATTTTAATCGGGCAAAAATTATCAATCCAGATTTATCAAAATTTAGAGGTTTTATGCGTAATCCAGTTTGAAAAACTGGGCTTTGCAATTCTGTCCGTATGTCTGTGTGTCTGTGTGTGTGTGTGTCCGTGTGTAAACACGATAACTTGAGTACCGTTACAGCTAGGTTGATGAAATTTCATATATAAGTATTATATCAAAATCGTAGATCCGTATCAACTTTTGAGCGATTTCCGACAACCGGAAGTGGTACTTTTTCTACTTTGAATTTTTCAAAAGCCTATAACTTGAGTACTATTTCAGATAGATAAATGAAATTTCACATGTAAGTAAAAGATCTAATTCTCTACCTTCTGTTAAATTTTGAGTTATTTCCGTTGACCGGAAGTAGTAATTTACGCTACTTCCGATTTCTCAAAAACTAATGTAAATTTATTAAGTACTAATACTATTGCGCACTATTATACACACCTTTATTAGGCGTTCGCTTGGTGCGCAATTGTTTTTTACTGAGATTCTATTCTATTTTTAAAAGTTTCAGTATTTAAAATGGATTAAAAATCATAACTATATCCCCAGTTACCATCCCCTGTTGTTTTATATAAGAATATTCGAGAAAGTTTAGGGGAGATCACTACCGGTTTATTTTATATGGTGGGGGGTTTGTATTGACCCCAAACCTGAAAAAAATACGGAAAAAAAATTCTAAGGGAGACAACGAGTTTTTAACACAGTTGATTAACAAGGTTATTTCCCTTCTATTTGGTTTCAGATAGCGAGGACGACAAAAAGAGCGACAGTGAGAGTAGGCGTAAAAGGAAACAGAGGCGAAACAGGACGACGTTCAATAGCACGCAGCTGGCCGCCCTCGAGAGGGTGTTTGAGAGGACGCACTACCCGGATGCCTTCGTCAGGGAGGAACTGGCCAGGAGGGTGAGCCTCAGTGAGGCTAGAGTACAGGTGAGGTGGACAGGTGTTGGTTAGGTGAGGTGGACAGGTGAGGTGGACAGGTGTTGGTTAGGTGAGGTGGACAGGTGAGGTGGACAGGTGTTGGTTAGGTGAGGTGGACAGGTGAGGTGGACAGGTGTTGGTTAGGTGAGGTGGACAGGTGATGTGAACATGTGTTTGGTTAGAGTACAGGTGAGGTGGGCAGTGTTTGGTTAGGTGAGGTGGACAGGTGGTTGGTTAGAGTTCAGGTGAGGTGGACAGGTTTTTGGTTAGAGTACAGGTGAGGTAGACAGGTGTTTGGTTAGGTGAGATGGACAGGTGTTTGGTTAGAGTACAGGTGAGGTGGACAGATGAGATGCCGTTAGAGAAATAGGTCTCAAACATAGACAGCACAAAAACTATCAGATCGAGCGTACACTGCAGACTTGTAGATCTAGCCACTAATGGAAATTGGTAGAAATGAAACACACCAGGTAGCCACTAAATGCTACCTGTTTATTATCTGGATATGGCAAAGTAATTTGGTAATTTCCCGACATAGCTACAATCATGGGGCAGCATTTTCCCTCCCCCCCCCCTGAATTATGTTGATCAAAATTTGCTTATTGATGCCATTCTTTTCTTTTACCTTTAAAGGTTTGGTTTCAAAACCGGCGAGCGAAATTTAGAAGAAACGAAAGAAATCTGATGGCACAGCGTCAGACGATCTACGGACGTAGCAGCGTGGAGGGCACCCCCATCGAACAACCAATCACCCCCAGGGCCACGCCCATGTCATCCGATTACATCCCCTGGGCCGGCACATCCGGTTATTCCGGTCAGCCGTCGGGGCCCGGCTCGAGCTGCGCCCTGGCCTCCCCGCACTCGTTCCCGGGCTCGGCGTCAGTGGGGTCGAGCCTGGCGTGTTTGAGACTCAAGGCCCACGAGTACAACTCCAGCCTGCAGCCGTCGCCATACTCGCATCACCAGATGCCTCAGTGACACGTTGACCAGGTTTTTGTGGTGCGATAAGTCAAAATGGATTTTCTTGTACGTGTGTTAAATTTTTTTTCCAGATGATAATTTGTAAAAAAAATTTGCTTGGTTAGCAAAGTTTAAAAGTAAAAGTTGATTCATCCGAAGTTTTAAAAATCATTTCATTGTTCATGAAATTATCTATCTGTGTTTCTCATATGTGTTTTTAAAACACTACAAGGCAAGCAGTTCTCAAACTGTTCAATAAAACTTATCAGCATTTATAAAATGTCCATTAATGGAATTCAAACCAAGAGACCGGATTCCTTAAAAAGTTAAACTGTTGAGATCCGCATTCTTAAACTGTTCATTAGTTGCGTTCTCAGCCAGTTTAAAGAGTCCAGCCTTCTCACGCAGTTTATCGTCTGCATTCTCAGACAGTTCAAATCGAGACCAACATTCTCAAACTATTCGGAGACGAAGACCATCATTTTTAACAGTTTACATAATGATGACTTAAATTTTCGCTTTAACTGACTGGAATTGGTGACCCCATTACCTGTGGTGTGTCCACTCTTGTTATGTGCCGACAGTGTGTAGGCTTCGGCAACACAGCAACATATTACCAGAGGAGCACAATTTGAAGCCACCGGTCAAAGAGCTGTTCTAAAATTTTATTTTGAAAAAAAAAACAACGGAATAACGTTTGTATAATTTTTTTCATAGAAATTGCTTTTATTTTTTCCCACGTTTTCTTTAACTTGCTTTCTCTGTTTGTTTGTTTGTTTTTCTAATCAAATCTTGCGATCGAAATTTCTGGCACTTCCCAGTTAGCTAGCGCGCTGAAATTTTCAGGGAAGCTTTCTTTTGGATGACCATAGAATATTCAATTGTTATTATTACTAAATTGATCAATGGAAACATTTTATTGAGCATTTTAGACCGCTATATAATCTATATATATAATTCTCCTCTGCGAGCCATTAGAAAAAAAAAACGAGCGACGCGTAGCTCGCCTCTCTCTTGCCGCGCGCAGTGAAGCGAACGATCCCACGTCGCGACAGGCTTAGGGGCAGATAATTTAGTTTGAACCGACTTTAAACTTACAGGAGGTAACTATTACCACTGGTGGCCAGTTTGGGGGAGACGATATGGTCGAGTGGTTGGGCACACGATTGCTATCCCACTCGACACGGGTTCAAATCTATGTGTTCTAGTCAGTAACCAGCCCTCGTCCTAACCGCTATCAACTAACCTCTGACAATCATTCACTTGCGATTGAGACCGAAGAAGAAAGGGTCTCTCGTTTTTTACGAGTTGTCTTTTTACGAGTTGTCTTCGTTTACCCAAAAAAAAGTGAAAAGATAAAATCGATAGCAAGATTTCAATGCAAACAAACAGACAAAGACTAAAAAGTAGAAAATAATAATCATTAAAAAAGTTTTAAAAAACCCACGTTTTCTGATTGAACTAAAAAGTAGAAAATAAATACTATACATCACAATAATGCAAGCGATCACTCTACTATAAGCGATGAAAAACGTGGGGCGCCGTGATTTTCTTACAGTTTCTAATACTGTTGACTCTCTACAAGCTCCCTAATAAAAGTCAATAGTATTATCTAATCCAGGGGTCTCCAAACTACGGCCCGCGGGCCGGATGCGGCCCGCGAGGTCCTCTCATCCGGCCCGCGGAGTTCTTTTTGTCCACGGAAAAAAACGTTTGTTGGTGATGGCTGAGGAACTTTGCCCAGAAAAATCAAAGACATGCCTGGAAGAAACTGGCCCCCGAACTGAAATTTGATAGTTAATGCGGCCCTCGGACTGAAAAGTTTGGAGACCCCTGATCTAATCAATAGTAATATAACTTTTACTTCGGCGCCCCACGTTTTTCATCGCTTATAGTAGAGTGATCGCTTGCATTATTGTGATGTATAGTATTTATTTTCTACTTTTTAGTTCAATCAGAAAACGTGGGTTTTTTAAAACTTTTTTAATGATTATTATTAAAGTGTAGGTTTATTCATTATTGCAATCAGGTTGGTGTCTTCGCTGAAATATTTTTAACCAATCAAAGGGAGATTAATGAAAATTTTTGTGCTTGGTTGTGTCCCTTTGTTGTTTCCTAAGCGCCTTTGAAAAATATGCAAAAAAATGTTACGGAAAATGATAGCATTATAATGTAAAAATGTCGGTCTGTTAATCTATTAAAAAAACGAAAGTTTTATCAATGTTGTTACATTATGGTGTCATGAAGATTCCATTTACCTGTATAGAAATTTACAATGTCAACGTTTTAATTCGCATGCCTCGTATTACAAAGTTTTCCCGTCCATATTTTTTAAACAAAATGTACAGTTATGCCTTATGTCCCACTACACATCGTCACGTCTGCTTACTTAAGCAACTCAAGTTTTCGGTAAGAATGTAAACAAGTGTATGGTTGTCTGTCTCAGTACACCATCCAGAATTTTAAAAAGCGAACATATATATATATATATATATATATATATATATATATATATATATATATATATATATATATATGTATATATATGTATATATATGTATATATATGTATATATATATATATATATATATATATATATATATACATATATATATATATATATATATATATATATATATATATATATATATATATATATATATATATATATATATATATATGAAGCTTATTTATCTACATACCTGCATTTTACTCATTTGTCTGTGTGTTGCACATATGTACATGCTAATGCAAATATGTGTGTGTAAATAGGTTTATATATTTTTGTGCTAGTGCTAGCCTGGAGGACATGTTTCATCAATATGATTTTTTGGTCTTTTAATAACTATCTTTCATATGTTAAGTTAAACAGATTTTATTTTCCATGTAAAAGGAATTTTTAAAATGTATTCGTTTACCAGCTTAACAATAGACCTGAAATTATTGTACTACATCGTTGTGTGCAATGGAACTTAATCTTTTTCATCAGATCTTTTGACATCAATGATGAAAATTATTAATGATGTATTGGTGTGTTGTGAGGTGAGATAAGCATTTAGTGCCAACAGACAAGAGGAAGGAATTTTTAACATGAATGTTTTTATATCAGTAAAAGTGTTAACATTTTTTACACTCTCAATCATGCAAAAGTTTAAAGGCTTGAAACAGTTTGGGAATAAATTTGAGATGTTAAAAAAATATTTGAAGCGCCAGTGCCTATTCACCCCACCTTCCAAAAAAGAATGGTTTCAATTGATCAAATGTATTTATATAAAAGACATAAATTTAGAGAAAATTTAAAAGCGTAATTTTAGTATTTTCTCGATCTACTTTAAAACAGTGATTTTCATGCTTTTATAAAAATCCTTGTTCTTTTTTAACATTTGAAGGAACAATTATGTATATTGGCTACTAAATGAACATGTTTAATTATGCCATCATATTCAGCATTTTGTGTGTGTGTGTATATTTATAGAACTTTTCCAAGAACTGTCTGTGGTGAAGCCTAAAGGAAAAAACAAGGGCTTTTTTAAAAAAAAAAAAAATAAGATCACAGAAAATCCGAACAGCTCAAATAATTTATTTGTAACTTTAAAACAAACCGTTTTTAGTTTTTATAGTTGTGTATTTGTTTTAATTTTTACTATCTTTATTAAAAAAATTATGGTTTCAATTTAAAGAGAACATATTGATAAAAAGCTAGAACTTACTGTATTTCTTATTTTAAAAGCAAACAAATTTGTGATTATTTTTTTAAGAATTTTATTTACAGAAATATTAGTCAGAAGTTTTAATTTTTCTTCATATTTTTAATGAATTAAATTGTTTTGTGCATTTGGTCTATTATTTATTTTTTGAAATTTTCAGCAATTATTTTCCAAATGCCAGTTTTGTCTAGGTCATTTAAACAGTAGATATGTTCTTGAATGACCACAACATTTCTTCAAGGTTTAGAATTTTTAAAACAATCCTAGCAAATCCTCATAAAGTTGAACTATCAAAACTCACCTAATGTTGTGTAATAATTAAATTAAAGGCAAATTCTTGTGGCTACATCCCACATAATAAACAAGACGGTGAGACAACATTAATGCAGACATCGACACACACATATAAATAAAATCCAGAAACTATTGGTTCATCAAAATTATATATATTTATATATACGATGTCAATCTTTTAACATCATAATGTCAAATGAATTTAATTAGATTTACATTTCTTAAAAGAAAATAACAGATTTCTTTCTTAATCTCTGAGATATTTTTTTTTAACTGACCAATGTCTTTTGGTCAGCTTAACAACATACACATTTAAATATTTTAAAACTGCATGTATCTGAAAGAGAAAACATAGCAAACCTTTTTCTGATCAGAAAAACAATTTAAAAAAAAATTAAAAACAAAAATAACTTAAGTACAACAATGTGGTTTGGTTGTAGTGAATTATTTAAATAATTTTTTTTTTCAAATTACAGGAACAAAACAAAACTAACATACCAGATTAACTAGACCCAATAATATAAAATAAGCAATTGAAAATATTAAATGACATTAATAATAATTTTTGTGTGAATTTTTAAAAAAAAGTCAGAACAGCTAGGCCACATCTGTCTAGTTTTACTGCAAGAGTTAAGTCTATTTATATAACCAGCTGTGTATACTTATAAAACATCAGACACAGATGGTGCTCTAGACTGACTGAAACAAGATTGGTAAGTGACAAGGGGAAAAAAAAACATGCATAAATTACACATGTATTTACAGAGTGAAAGACAGAACCTTGAGAGTAAAAAATTTGATCATTTGGCTCATTAGAAGTAATTGTACAGTAACAGATAATACAGTTGCGGAATTTTTCATTTTGGGGAAATATAAGAAAAAAAAACATGAATTATTAAAGGCACATTTTAAAAAGTATTTTTTAAAATGAATATAAATAAGATAAAACTAGTTTTTAAAGAATAATACATTTGGTCAAAACATGTGAAAACAGTAACAAGTGAATATCAACAGAAATGTTTGATAAAGCCTGATACATTGTATCTAGTTAAAGTTAAATATATTTGTTGAATGCATTAAAAAATTTAACTTCAGTTTGTGTGTATTCCCTCCAATACATTTAGTTACATTACTTGATTAATTAGGTACACGACCGGGCAAGCTCAACAGGACAAGAACAAGAATTAGAACTGAGGAATAGTGACTTAGGAACACATTAGTTTATAATACATTACACAATCTATATTAGTAAAAGTCACTTGGCATGAGGAAATAACTTTGGTAAAAACACAAAATGATTTGAGGTGGATAAACAGCCACCAAAGTTGTTGAAATCTGGCCAAAATGTGACTAAGGTAAAATGCAACAGGTGAAGTGGATAAATAAATGGCAACCAGACTGTTTAAATCTGGCCAAATAAATGTATTGCCTTTTGATAGCAAAAGTTATCAAAAGTAAAATAAGCAAGGAAATATTAAATAGACCTAAACAAGTGCAATATTTACAGTTGTGCTATGGTAAAACAAGAACATACAAATGTTTATTCTTATAAATAAAAACAATGTGATATAAAATATAATATTGTAATACAAGATGGCAATGACTACCTTCTACTGCATGATATGATCTTTTCCTTAGACATAAACATCAAATGGCATTCCACCAAATACTTTGCAAGCTGTATCTAACACCTCAACAACAAAAACGAACACATACTTTCTTTAAAAATATATGAACTCAGGTAAAAAACAAAACAAATATCCAGTGCTTAAATGGGAAAATAATTTAACCAGATCACCAAATTAATTTATTACTAACACTAGACCAACCCATCTTGAGACAGAGCTATTTGGGTAGCTGAAAAAAATACATAAATATCTAATTTTCCATTTTAACAAAAATAATCCAGCCACCACAGTGAAACAGTAAAAATAACATTTTTATTCCAAACAAAACCTATCCTACCTAAACACATTACTTTACAAAATATCCGATTAGGTCTCAAGACCTTAATTTTTACTTTGGATACTAAGGAAAACTTCTCATAACTCTGAGACACGAACGAAAAAGTTGCTTTACAAACTTAATAAAGACAAGTTAAAGACAATCACTATTTTTCAAAAAATAAAATACTAATTATAATTCCCTATTCCCTCTATAAATATATGTGCTAAAACATTTGCTTTCGTACAGGAATTACCGGTAGCAAACTAATAATTAAAAATTGTCCATAAACTACAAACTGATCTGGCAGTAAGTACTATTTTTGTGATTCAGCAAGCTTTAATATTCTCTTTGAATTCAACTTACTCATGTGCGCAGTGCTCAAAGCTGGGGTAACCACCATTTTTTCCAGAGACTGGGATCGCTTTGAGTGAGGGGTCGCTGCCTCCTGGCTCCAGGTTTTGTTTAGGTATTCTGTAAATAAAGCCATCGCCATGGAAACCTCCTGGGCAGCAGAGTCCAGCTGTCCAAGCTGGGATTCTGACAGCAGGGTGACGTCAGTCAGGTCGGATATGTTGGTGGAGTTGTCGACATTTTGGGATGCCGTGGACGACAGGTCACTCTGGGAGGGGTCTGATGAAACCGAGGACTGAGAGGTGGTGGACGATGAGGTAGACAGGGTAGAGGTGAGGCTGGACTCCTTCAAGGGCTGAGATATGCTTGACATGAAGGCTGGGGGTATGGTGTAGGTCAGCGAGGAGACCGCCAGGAGGTTGTGACAGCTCTGACGAATTATGTCAACAACTTTCTCTAAACGTTTTCCATTCTGAACTTTGACTGAAATTAAAAATGTTCCTGTTAGTTGTTATTGAACAAAAAATTTGTCTTTGAAGAGATGGAGACCTACAAGGATTATAGAGTTATAGTAATATAAATATAATTTATTTCAAATGTAAAAAAATAAAAATAATTACAATACAATAAGAAATAAAAAGAAGTTACAAGATAAATTAAAATTATTTTTGTCAAAGCAAAAAATTAAAGCAATTTTAGCTAAGAAATTAAAGGATTATACAAAAAAAAAAAACACTACATTTTAAAGTATAGTTTTTAGACTCCATCTGCTCAAATTTAAAAAAATCAAGTGTTAAAAACAAAGTGCATCATTGTTAGATAAAATTGTGAAGATTCAAAACCAAACAAGCAGAACTAAGATGCTATGTAAGCTGGTTGGACTTACCATGAACTAGGGACTCTGCTAGCTCAACTAAGAGTGTGCTGGAGTCTACCACAGACGACACGCTAGACACAATTCCCTGCAGACGTTTGTAGTTGGCACTGTAGTACTGGGGAGGCCTGGTCCCACTGGTCAGTCCCTCGTCCATGGCAATCTGTTGCTGGACAAGCAAGGTTTTCTCAACCAGGGCACGCACACAGGATAAGACATGCTTTACTCTCTGGGACATGTTGCAGGAACTCTGAAATAATGGAAATATTAGAACATGTTACTAAAGTTACATAAACATTGCATTTATAACTATGGCACATGTTGCAAGAACTCTGAAATAACTTGAATGTTAGGACATGTTACTGTAGTTAGATAACTATTGGGACATATATAAAATTTGGAACAATGGGACATGGTTAATATAATAACTATATAAATTAAATATAACTATAAAGTTACTTAAAATGTTATAGGTCAACATTTAAGTTTTTAAAAGAAGGTACTATGATTATTTTTAATGAAACGGGCCACACTTGCTTTAATAAGATTAAACCACTAACCCACTTGTAAAATTTCTGTAAAAATCACAACTTACAATTTTGTCAGAGTCTGACCAGGCCGAGCACCTGGTCTCACACTTGGTGAGGGAGCCTAGACCACCTTCTAACGCAAGGTTGACAAAACTGTTGCAGCCACTTAAAAACTGTTGGTTGATCTCTGAGCTTATCTGTCAAGTAGGGTTAGATAATGTGAAATTGAACAAAGTGAAACTTATCCGAGGGTCAACTTTTTAAATAAAAATTTAGCATGACTATTTATTAGTTGTAAAACTATTTATTTACTTAGAAAAAAAAATGAGGGAAATGTATTTTATGGATACTTTCCACATCTTTTTTAAGGACGTCTTTTTAAATAAAAATTAAGCATGCTCATTTATAATTTGGAAAACAATTTATTTCCAAATATTATTTGGAAAAGAAAGTATTTTATCGATATGCTCCACATCTTTAAAATAAAAACAAACAAACATGGCTATTGAAGGTGGGTGTAAAACTGTTTCTTAAGGAAAAATGTTTTACCTTGAGTTGTTCACTATCCATGGCTTGTTGGTCAAGCTGAATGACCTGTGAGTTAGTGGCCATGGCCAGCTCACCACTTGTGACACAAAAAGACAACAGTGCCGTGGTCAGCTTGTGTCCACTCTCTGACACCAAACTTGTTAGTTTACCTTCACAGCCCTGGATAGAAAATTTAAATTTCAATGCACAACACAATTTGTTTACCATTAGTTTGACATCAAGTTCAATTATCTAAGTAAATATGTAGCCTATAAAAGGCTTGTTTTAAAACATAGGCTACCATACTAGGTGTTGTAATGTTGTGCTCTCCCCCATCCCCTCCCCACAGCCAACAAAATAAGTCGTCTGCTCAAGTTTATATGGTAGACTTTAAGTGTGGCTTATTTAGAAAGATTATTTTTTTATGAATCTATATTAAACTTTCCTATATTTTTTTATTGATCAAAATTAGATGGAAATCAAGAGACAACTTTTTGTAAACATAAAATGTTTTGGTTGAATGCATAAATTAATGTTTAGAGTATTTAATATGTAATTTTTTTTAACAAACACTAAATATCCATTATTATAATCCTATAAGAATTATTTGAAGATTTAGAAAATACATCTAATTGAAGTAGATCTATATCTTGATGAAATGACCTTGAAAATTCTTAAATAAATTCTTAGTTTAAAAAGCAAACAAAGAATAAAGGCAGAATAAAGGCAGAATAGAGCAATTCACACCAGGCTATAATTTTGCAAGGGAGATAACAAACCTAACAAATCTCTAACCTACCTGCAGCAGTGAAGTAGCAAGCAGCCCTATAGTTTTGACCTGTTCTGTTGATCTGTCCACGAGGTCCAGCAGTAAACTAGAGCCCAGGTCACCACATATACTTGGCCACAGGGTAGTGTGTGAGGCCAGCAGATACACATCAGTCACCAGTTGAAGCATGGGGCGGGACCAGCCAGTGTCCATTGCTGAAGGAAGTTTCAGTTTATAAATACTGACATTTGTCTTTCTTTTAATTGGACTTTTTTCTTTAATATAACATAATGATTAATTGGACTTTGACAATACTTTGGACCAGCCAGTGTCCATTGCTGAAGGAAGTTTCAGTTTATAAATACTGACATTTGTCTTTCTTTTAATTGGGCTTTTTTCTTTTATATAACATGACAACAATGAGGATATATTGACTTATGACTATACTATGGCAATTTGACTTAGGAATAAGGAACAAAACAACTATACAAAACAGAATCTCTAAATTATGATACATGAATAATAGTTTAAAGTAAAGTACTTTTGCTAGGAGAGATTTGTCATTTTATATTAGGGAGATTAAACGATTAATTTAGTGCTAGAAGTGATTTGTAATTAATTGTTTGGCTGTTTGCTCGTTTGGCTCTTGGTACAGACTTGTGACTGTAGGATGTCCTGGAGTCCACCCAACTGTGATGGGTACCTGACTCATGTTAGTAAGGGAAAGTAAAGGCGGGCGGACATAGTGCTGACCACACCATCCCTTCATCTTTACTTTTTTTTTTTAATCGCAATGATAACAGAATTAATTACAGCTAAAACAAATTGTTATTCCCAAACTAATTAATTAAAAGATCCACTTACTGCTAGAAGAAGTCTTCTTGTCAGTTCCTATCACACTTATTAAAGATTCTTTGATTCTGTAACAAGTGGACAACACTTTGTCAACAACAGTTTCTTCAAAACTTCGAGCTGAAATAAAAATGATTTGAAACAATGTTATAAAAACGATTATTGTTACAAAAACATTAAAGCAACAGAACCCTTATGGGTGAAAACTATTTTTGAAGGACATGAGACAAAGCAGACACCTCTCCCTCATCAGCATGGAATATATAGAGTTATAAATTGCAATACCACAACATAAAATGGTAAGAAGTTGATTCAGCACATATTCTACACTACTAAAAAACCAGTTAGAACACAATGCCACAAACACCAGATTGACCCACCTGTGAGTTGGTCTCCAATGGAGGACAACAAATTCTTACAAGCCCTCACCATGGAGATGTCAACATCTTGACAGGACCTGGGGCTGTACATGTTGAACGAGCCCACTGGGAGAAGGATTTAAAAAATAACACAATTTAGTCGCGCACTCATTGGTGACTCAACTTGAAACATTTTCTCGATAAATTAATAACTAATATTTTTATCAATTTGTGGTGGCACCTTGGCTAATGGTTAATAACCCAGCTTGATAAAATTATGTTGGTTTATTAAGCAGCTAAATTACATGTTTAATATTTCAGTCTACCTCTTCTTAATCCAGACAAGGGAGTACGACACAGCACACTTTGTTTTAAAACATCTGCATCTCTGGGGAAATTATTTTTTTTTTTTTAAATTGCAAATTTAATTAACAACAAACCAGTAAATTCAGGTTTGAGATATAAATATAAAAGGATAACACTTTGTTGACAGAAATACATATATCAGCAAAATATAGAGGCTTGTGAACTAAGATATGTTACCTATTTTTAAACACAACAGTCTCATACACATTACATTCTGCACAACAAAGCCCCTTGCACTAAATTACCATTTTGAACTTAGTTCACTTGTTCCTGTGATGGTATATGGCAGAATATTGTGGTCAGCACTAGGCCTTTACTTTCCCTTATGTGAGTCAGGTACCCATCAGAGCTAGGTGGACTCAGGGACATTCTATTGACTCAAGCTCAAGATTTAAACTTGTGACTTTCGGGTTAGCAACCACACGCTCTAACATCCAACCACACCTTCCCCAACAACCACTAAAACATGTTACCTATTGAGATTGACAGCTGGAGAGCTGAGTGATAAATCTTTCTCCCAAACATCATCTGGGTCAGTGAACACCTCATCATCAGCAGGCTTCTCCCCTTCATTCTTAAAGAGAAAGATGAACAATATGATTTGAAAGGTACCTTACAGATAAGTATGCCCTTGCTCATAGTAGATAATCATGTATGAATTGATTATGTCAAGTAAGTTATCTAACAGCATACTAGATAAAACTACAGTTCAGTTTCAGATTAGCAACATGATTCAAATTATTTTTTAAACACAAATTTTTTTTTTGAAAGTGCCTCTATCCATACTGTAATGAGTCAATAAAGATACACAACTCTCTCTATCTCACACCATTTGAAGTCAATGTTTTGATATTTTTCTCAACAGTGAAAAAAATATTCTAAAATGCCTTTCACAGTACATCTGTTAGTAGTGTGCAATGTCAGCCTACCTGGTACAAATCTCTCATCTGAACCAGCTTCTCTTCAAACTTTGGCACAGACCACAAGGTGTACATTCTGTGGTGAGCGTTGACCACACGAATAAGGGTTGTCACAGAGCCACTTCCATCCTCTGTAGTGTGGTCATCTCTTGTAAAGACCTAATCAAGGGGAAATTAAATTAAATTTATTGTAAAAAAAAAAAGATGGATAATAAAAAAAATTGTATTGTCATAATAAAATAAATGTTTCTTAAATTCATAATCCAATAATCAAACTTTTAAAAGTATATCAATACACACAATTTAAAAAAAAAAAAAAGGAACATCTATGGTAATATACACACGATATGGTAGTTAGTAGTAATAAAACAAAAGTTGATAATTTTATTCATATTCATGCCTGAGACACAGGGAGCAGATGAATTAGTGTTCAACTATTTCAATCACCTCAGCCGCCTTTGTTTCCCCTAACTCCAGTCAGATTACCTCTGCATACAACAGGATAGCTAGCATAGTCAGCATTATGACCAGCCACTTTTGTTTCCCCTAACGCCAGTCAGATTGCCTCAGCTTACAAGGGGATAGCGTAGTCAGCACTATGACCCGCCGCCTTTGTGTCCCCTAATGCCAGTCAGGTCCCAATCATTGCATGCTGGGTGGACTCATGGACCATTCAGTCCCCAAAACAAAAGCTAGTGGTCTAAAATCATAAGATGAGATTGTACATCTTCCAGAAAACAACCTACCAGATTAGTCTTCAAGTCATGGTTTATCTTGCTGGCCTCTCTAAGCAGCAAAACCTACCAGATTAGTCTTCAAGTCATGGTTTATCTTGTTGGCCTCTCTAAGCAGCAAAACCTACCAGATTAGTCTTCAAGTCATGGTTTATCTTGTTGGCCTCTCTAAGCAGCAAAACCTACCAGATTAGTCTTCAAGTCATGGTTTATCTCAGCACAACCTACCAGATTAGTCTTCAAGTCATGGTTTATCTTGGCCTCTCTAAGCAGCACAACCTACCAGATTAGTCTTCAAGTCATGGTTTATCTCAGCACAACCTACCAGATTAGTCTTCAAGTCATGGTTTATCTTGTTGGCCTCTCTAAGCAGCAGCTCCACCTTGTAGAGATCTCTCCGTGTCCCTGGACTCCCCAACAGCCCAGGCTGGTCTTGTGCAGCACCCCGCAGCTTCTTTGTCAGGGACTTGCTTTCTGTTTTCCATTGTCTCAGCTTCTCAAGCTGTGCTATTATTTTTTTACTCTCCGCCTCACCCTGTGCTAGTACCTTCTCTAGTATAGCATTGCTCGGACAAGGCGCCTATCAATTTATGGGGGAAAACAAACTTATTAGCATTTTTATAATGCTGATAATACCTCTTAACTTATTTAAAGATTTTTTTAGACCTGAAATATTTTTTTCTCTACTTAAGATGTCATTTATAATCCTTTAAAAAGTATCCTTGTTCTAGGATCAAAGTTCTTATATATAATATTTATTATTTATGTGTAAATATAGCTAAAAGGTAAAAAGGTAATTGAAGTAGCTTAAAAAAGTCCTCACCACTATATCAGACTTGTCCTCATATTTTTTTCGGTTTCTACCTGCATTTACTTCCTCTTCCAGGATCTGTTAAAAAAATTGTAATAATGATTTAAAAACAAAACAATTTTCAAGTTGTAAGCTAAGTATCTGTAAGGACTAGGCGGCTAGTCTGTCATTTTAATTTGTAGTAGTTTTAAAAATTGAATATGTTTAAGATAATTGGATTTTCAGAATAAACAGGTTCTAAACCACCTTTATAATAATAATAATAAAAAAAAATCAAACACTCTTCAACTTTGTTCACAGGACACTCATTTAGGGATGAAGAACCTCATGGAAGTATAAACCAATTATGTATATAAATATATATAAATGTGGGGATAGATATAAATACTCACCATATTTTGTTGTTTGAGATTTTTTATGGTACTTTGTGCCTCTTTCTGTGACAACTCTGCTTGGGTCTGGTCAGAAAGACATTTGAATATTGGAATTAGAACAAAGGGGAATTACTCAGTGATACTTGGTGAGTATGCTAATTCCTGTGTTCTTGAGTAGTTTCAGGCTATTAATTATTTCATTTTATTGAAATAGAATTCAAATAATTGTAAACTTTAAAGCTTTTTCTGAATAACACACATTGCGAAAATATATTTGCTTAGGCAGTATGTTGGAAAAATAAAAATTAGTAATAGACTTACCAATTCTTTTTCCAACCCCTTTAATTTATTCTCATATCCATTTTTCTGTTGGTTGAGTTCTTGCCTAGTTTTTTCTAACTCCACTTCCAAAAGAGCTTGTAACCTATAAGTAAATTAAATGTTTTACTATAAGAATGAGCTTTGACTTTACTGAGGAAAATAGCATTGTTTAAAACATTTAAACCAACAGAGGTGCTTGCTGCAACAAACCTAGATGCAATTATTGCTCACACACGATGAGAAAAATAAAGGGGTAATTCTGGGATAACAAAAACTTTTAAGGCAACTTACCTCGCCTCCTGCACTTTGTGCAGTTCTTGCTTGGCAAATTCATAATCTTTAACAACATCTGAGTGACGTATATCACCACTTTTGTTTTTTTGCACTTGCATGGGATGATTGAACCTGTAATTTGCGCCTAAAAGTTAACATTACAAATTCAAAACACACAAAAAAAAGATAAATGAAAAGAATGAGCACACAAAATTAGTTCTTTTATGCCACATAAAACCCCTTAATAAATTACCTGAAATAATGGTCGCCACCTAAAATTACTCTGTCACCCTAAAAGAAAAAAAAAAAGAAGAAATTTATAACAGAAGAAATATTTATTTAATTTTTATTGACAATGTGATCATGCTTATAAAACAAGGTCCTATGCAAATAACTAATTAATAAAAGTATAAAACTAATTTAATTCAAAATGTTGGTTTCGATATGAATATTCAACACCAAATGTGATTTTTAAAAAGAGAAAAAAACTTACATGATAAAGCATAGTTTTCTCAGAGATTAGATTTCCATTAACATAAGTGGGAGCATCACCAATTGGTTTGATTTCCACTATTCCCTTTTTGCTATTGATAACACTGTAGATAAGTATTTGTAATTAATGGAAATTTCAATAGTCCCATCAAGCAAGGAAAATGAAGAATTGTATGAGTTTCATTTATGTAAAGTAGAAAACAAAAACTGCACATAAATATTGTCAGAAAAATAAAAATCCTATAATCTTCATTGCCTTGTAGAATAAAACAGGGTTCGTACTGCTTTTTGAAAATGAAATTCCAGACTTTTTCCAGACATTTTTCAGACTTTTTTGGAAAAATTCCAGACTTTAGACAGATAATGTGTTAGAAAATAATTTTTTTAAAATGATGCACTATTTGTACTCTCATTATAATTACTTATACTAAATTGACATTTATTTTAGGCAATTGAGCTATATTTGCATTGAACTTTCTCTAGCCTAATTGACAGAAAATCATTTTTCTAAGTTTGCCTACTCCACCCTATCTAAAATTTTAACAATTAAAATAATGGATTAAAATGATGCAACTATTTTGTTTCCAACATTAGACTTATGTAATCTGTTCCTGATCTAATTGCTTATGTTTTCAATTAAACTATCATTAAAATGGTATTGCATAATAGTGAGAGTTAATTACTTTAAAGAATAATAATGTAATGTATTAACTTAGGTCTGCTCTTGTTAAGTAGCCTATAGGCTACTTGTAAAAAAAAAATGTGGAGCAAAAAAAAAAAAAAAAAAACATCATTCACTGTTTGTGCTTATAGTAATAGCTGAGAAACGGGTCTGCAATAAAAAAAAAATTGCAGGTATTCTCCCCCCCCCCCCCCTCACACACACAAGACACGGTGAAAGGGTCACTGTGAGTTCATAGAAGTCTAGACTTCAGTATGCCTGTTAAATACGCCATAGCATGAACTGTGATGTGACTTATACCCCACCACCCCCACCCTCCTTACCCAGCAGTACCATCTACGTACTTGGGGTCACGGTGAGTTCACACAAGTGACCGTAGTTACAAGGAGGGGCGGGGTAGTCTAGCTTTAATCGTTAGCATTTGCAAAGATTTCATAAACAGTTTAATGGAAGGTGGATTAAAATTAAAGGGGTCATCCATTTATGACGTACACATGGAGGGGGGAAGGGGTCGGAAGATTTTGTGATTACATTCTAAAACAAACATAAAACTTGTATCCTGCGAGTAGAAAGTAAAATTAAGATGACTGTGCTAGTGTTTTAAAAACCTCCACAGCGTGTAAACAAAACACGGTATTTATATCTGCCCTAACATTATTGCAAAAGCGTGTCGTCACACTTTATTTTTATAAAACCATCCTCGAGATTTTCCGGAATGCGACGTCATTTATGGACGACTCCTAAATAAAAATAGTACCTCTTTGGTAAGCGACCGCTGAAGAAAAAAAGACTTATTAATCTTATAAATGCTAATACTAATCCAAAGTACGTGAACGCGCGCGGACAGAGGGAGGGGGGGGGTCTAAAATCCGAAAAAATGTGTAAGTCATAAACGGATGACCCCTTACAGTAAGTTTACAGACGGATAAATTATATTTTAACTACCACTCACACATCTCCCCCATAATTTTTTGTTATGACTGCCTGCATGCAAACTCAAACGAGGAAAAAATAGCGGGTAAAATCGAGAGCCTAACAATTCTGAGGGCGATCATTCTTTCATTAAATGGCAATTTTAAATACTCGTAACACATTCACACGGTCAGTCGCGCCACAAAATATCTCTGCCCTCCCCTTCCCCGCCCAATGACGCAGTAACCGAGCATCCGTTTTTTTTTCTACGAACCAGCGAAAAAAGTCAGAACACAGTGTAAACCCGCGCGATAGCTCGTGGAAAAAAATGGAGTAAATTCACTTTAAAATAGCAATTTTTTATTTGGAAAATATGGACTTCGAAGTTTTGTTTCTAAAACTAGATTCCAGACTTTTTCCAGACTTTAAAAAAATCCAGCCCAAATTCGAAGTTTTGTTTCTAAAACTAGATTCCAGCCTTTTTCCAGACTTTTAAAAAATCCAGCCCAAAATCTAGCGATTTTCCAGACTTTTTTAAGTCTTAAATTCACTTTTCTAAATTCAAGACTTTTTCCAGACTTTCCAAACTGCGTACGAACCCTGATAAAAGCATCATTACATTATCTTAACATAAAAATTAATTTTCAACTTTTAAAAAAATGTTGAAATAATGATTAAAAGTATGATCTAAATTTCCCCAACCAATGATTCTCCTGAATGTATGACTAAACATGATCCAAGTTTCACCTACCAATGATTGTCTGCTATCAAAGCTCCAATCAGCTTTATGTCATGCTTGGACTCATCAATCTTCCTCCCCACTCTTGTCTCCCCTTCTTTGATAACATACAGCAACATTTCAGACAGCTGGGGGTCTTCATTCAAGTTCACCAGGTTTGGGAGGGTGTTGTCAATTTTGAATGTAATTCCAGTGCTCTGGAAAATATCACACAAAAAATAATAAAGAAACTGAGAAAGTAAATCAGAAAGAAAAATAAAGCGAATATGGTTAAAAAGCTAAAACAAAAGACGACAAAAACAAAACAACAACCAATTACTCTTATAGGTAACCACAAACTGAGGATGGAGATTTGGGTGATTAAATTTATAAAAGATTTGAACAGTGACAAGGTATTCTGATAAGCATGGAATGAGAGGGAATTCTAGGCAGCATAGTAAAATCAAAGATTCTTTTCCAATCAAATACCAGAGACAGGTCTACCACACAAGGCATGAAAGAGTTTAAAGGAGACAATTAAGGTAGCTATAAAATAGTTCCCCTAAAATTCAATAAAGGATAAAAAAAATTTGGACACAGAATAATCATATCAAAGGTATTTTCAAAATTTTTAAGGTGAAAAGTAATATCACTGCACATATAAAATTTAAAACTAATTCTTTAACATTTTAAGTGGAAATATTTTTTCCCTCAAAGTGGAAAAATAGTTTTTCCTCCAAAATAAAAAAAAACTGCAGTTCTGTTTATTAATTTAATTTAAAACCCATGTTTATCAAGCTCATTCAGAAAAAAGGATAGCAAAAGTAAATACCTCCATCTGCTGCAGCTCCTCAGCCTTCTTGGCCTCGGCCTGTTTAAGACGCTCCTGCCAAGATCGACTCAAATCCTCCATCTCTGCCTTCAGGCGAGCGATCTCAGCTAAACTCACAGCCAAAGCTTCTTCATTCATGGTGCCTCCTTGCTCTGCTCTAAGCCGATCAATTTCTGCACGAAGCTCTAAAAAAAATATAATAGAACAATAAAGAGAAATTTGATGAAAACAATACATGTCTTTATCTTATAAAAACAAATGTACAATATATATATATATATATATTTAATAGAACAATAAAGAGAAATTTGATGAAAATACATAAGCAAAGATTGTAAGATACATCATAAAAAAAATAGACACTCACGTCTGATAATCTTAGCCTTAGGATCTTCATTAATTCTGACAATATTTACAATAGATCGAGCTTGCTGTGCATATCGTAAAGTACTCAGTGTTTCTTCAATGTGAGCATTAGATGGGGAAACTGTTGCTATCATGGCTGTTTTAGAATTGCCACCTAGTGACTCTTTTAGAAGCCTGTGAAGAAAAAATGGGTTTAAATTATTCATGATGGCATTAAAAATGACAGCGATATTGTGAGGAGATTGTTAGAGTACAAGTCTTGAGTTTGTTGATTGACCTGTCAAAATAACCCTGCATACACTCAGACCTTGAATAGACGAATGCATGGTTATTTTGATATTCAAGTGGCTAGCTTAGAATTCCTTTCATATGTTTCAACACAGATTAAATCTACTTCATCTTTGGTATTGACACTCAGGCAAAAACAGCATTAAACTTTCCCTTCATAATACCCAGTTTAACAAGAGCTATACATCTTAACATTAAAACAGGAAAATTTACCATGTAAGTACAGAGTCTCTATAAGGGATGAATATTTTCCTCTTCTTGCTAACTTGGGACCTCTCAGACAGAAGGGCAATAACTTTACCCAATGTCAATAGAGATTTATTAATATTTGCCCCTTCCTGAAACAACAACAAAAAAGATTATAATATAATTCTGTAGAACAACAGAAACCTTTCCTAAATGATACTAAATTAAAAAAAAACAACAAACGTTTGCAAGTTATTTAAATACAACAATACTGTGAGAAAATTAATGGAACAGAATTTAAATGACTAAATTATAGATGAAACTAAATCATCTAAAACTGCTCCTTGATGATGAGCGTGTGGCCTGGATACTCACTCGCAGTCTCTCTCCTGTAGTATTAGCCAGGGACTGTCTTTCACTTCCTGCTAGGTCAACAAGGTTAATCTTACTGTTGACACTGTGGTCATGGTCATGGCCTTCAACATGTTCTGTCTGAATAAAGTATTGTATCTTGGTTAAAACACACAACTATTAGAGAACACTCCAAAAATCAAACAACTGCTGCCTTGTAGTCTTTTCTTGGGTCAGAAAAAGGCTATTGGAGTCAACTGCCTATATGACACATAACAAACTGACACGTAATATTTAATTGTGTTGGAGTAAATCTCATTCAACATTACATTAAGAACGAAGAAGACACAACTATTCACATTTGTGTTTCTTGATGATATTAAGGCAAGGTAAATTGCGGCTAAGTGTACTGATAAATAACTAAATCCAGTTCTTTAACTATTCAAGATGATTTGACATCACACGAGAGTGAAAAATTCATTGCTTGGTGAAAATGTTCTACGCATATTGGAATGAATGAGAAAAAATGCAACATCAACAACACAAAAAGAACATACCTTGGTTTGTGTCAGCACAATTGTAAATACTGAATGAGAACGGCTGCTCTTATCATTCATGCCTGTTGCAGCAGTTGCTCTGTTCTTGTTTCCTAGAGTTATCCAGCTCTACAACAGAAAACATTTTAAACTACAATAAATTTAGCTTACCATAGTGGTTTAAAATAAAAATATGTATAAAAATACCAACACTTGTCTGCCTTTCTTTGCTTAATGATTTTATTTCTATTCTTACTTCTAGTTTTAATCAGTGTTAATCATGTTACAACAAATGCAAGTCGATGAAACTCACAGTACAACATATAGAAAAACTAAGAGAAAAAAATATGTTACAAATAAATTTTTGAGGAGAAAAAACAAAACAATGTGCAAAAAAAAAATTATGGTGCCCTCACCTCTACATCTTCAAAAGAGTTGACAACAAAGGTAGATAATCCTTCAACATAAGGGCCAAGAACTGGGTGTTCTCTCACTTTGAGCTAAATGATGAAGAAATAAAGAATTTATGTAAAATTCACAATTTTTATACGTTTGTTATACAATTCTAAATGCAAAACATTGTTTAACATTTTAATCACTGACTTCCAAAAAAAAAACAAAAAAAAAAAAAACAACATTCAAATAAAACATGTAACTATATAGTTTTGACAAATGCAATTTTTATAATAAAAATATTTTTTATTATTTTGACTGTATATTTAAAATAGATTGAAAACAGCATATTCCACATTTACTAAACTAACTAATAACTATAGTGTAGTACATATGTATTTAGTTCAAAGTCACTTTTGTTCATAATAAAGCATAGTTTGCTAAGTGATTCTGCCTTGGAATGAACTACTGCTCTAGTTCTATTTTTAGGAAATGCCACCATTAGACTCAATATTCCTGAAACAAACATACATTACAGAACCAACAAACTGTCTTGTATGAGTGAGAACTTTAAAGGGATATAATACTTACAGTGACCTTTTTAGCTCCCTTCTCTTTAGTGCTGGCCAGCAAGTCATGGATCTTCTCATTGTAGATTTCAAAGAAGCTGATCTCAACATTCACCTTCACCTTGATACCACAATAAAAGTTGACAAAATTCTGATCTTACTAATGCAATGTAACACAAAAAAAAATTACAACAGCTAATATAATTTCAAGGTTGATTTTAAATAATTCTTCAGTTTAAAATTATATATTAAATTTAAATTATATATAAAATTGTTATTTTAGTTTGCATGGGGAAAACCACCTAAACATCATGTGGCTATGCCACTCATATACACTTAAAGACAAAAAATAGATTTCTAAGATTTGTAACATAATAAAAACAAAATATAGGGAAATCAAAAGTTAAAAAAAATAATTTAAAACTGTTTAGTATGGTTTAACAAAAATACAAGGTTTTTATTATTTGTGTGAAATCAACTAAATAAAACCCTAACTTAATTATGCCTACCTGTTTCTTTCTTGTCAAATTTTCAGCTCTAGAAAATAAGTCAGCACAAAATCTTGGGATGATTCCTACATCATTTGTGTGTCCCATTATACTGAAGATTGAAAAAAATATAATAATGTATACATATTTTTTTGACTAACACTGTACATTTAAAGTTGAATTATAAATTATAATCAAATTTGTATTGAGAAATTTTGATGAGGTCTTATTTTGTCATAAAGCTTTAATATGAACTGACAACAATTGGAATTCTTATACTTGTAGTTTTGATTTACAAATGCTATCTATTTATGCATAATACCTTCACTTACCTGTAACTTTTACCACTTCCTGTTTGACCATAGGCAAAGAGACAGGTGTTGTAGCCTTCAAAAGCTTTACCTAATAGAGGCTGCGCAAGTCGGGAATAAACATTTTCCTGATCGCAGAAATCAGAGGAAGAGTTGTCATGTGACCAGAATGAAAAGTCATAGGCAAACTGATGTTTGGCACCATTATCTGATGTTACAGTTGTTTCATTTCCTTGCATGGAGACAGCACATCTTGCATTGGAGTCTGCCAGTTCTCTGAGATTCAAAGGTGAAAGTAGATAAGGAAAACTTTTTTGTGTCACAATATTTTTTAAGGCAATGCATTTGTAACCCACCGCCAAGATACTTTCATTTCACTATCATTAAGTGTAATTAATTCATATATTTGCTTCTTCCTATTCTTCCAGAAAGGAATGTGTCAATGTTAAAGAATGTAAATTAATCAAAGTGCCTTTGAACTTGAATATTAACTATTATTAAAAAAGAGAAAATTTTAAGTTTAGGCCTAATAAATTATTTAAAATAATTGAATTCCCATTGACAAAAGCAAACATGAAAATTAAAATGTAATTTGTGCTACACATGAAATGGCATCTAGTAGATTCAACGTTGAGAACTTAGCATTATATACAGAATAAATAGTTTCATTGTACACCAAACAGATCACACAAATTCCTTTACCTTTGATTGAATGGCCTTACTCTAACAGCCACCATGATACTGCAGCTGTCTTGTCCATCTTCAACTGCATCAGTGGACTCATCGTGATCTGTTATAGTAGGTAGCATACGTCTCGGGGTTCCGAAGTTGACATCCCTGTAGCAGTCTGGGGTAGCATACAACTTGCTTTCCAGGGTGTGCCTGCGTGCTTGTCTATTGTCTGGTGTGCGGAATGGACTTTGGGAAACAGATTCTATGAGCTCTACAGACGAAGACGACACCTTTTTGTTACTAGTGATATCGAATGACACCTTCAAACTTTCACCCTTGACATTTGAGTTATCATTTTTCACTGGAGTCTGGGGTGTAATTGATGGTCGGGAATCTTCCTTGCATATTTTTATTGAAACAGTATTACTGTTACTATTATTTGAATCTGAAGATATAGTCAAAGTATTCTCAGTATGTATTTCAGTGCTGGATCTTTGAGACTGAGTTTCTTGCTTGTTTTCTTTACCGTTACCACCAGGTGTTAACGCACTAGATTTCCCGTTACTTAACGGTGTGCCCGTGGTCGAGCCACTGCTTCTATTTTTATTTGATAACTTTGATGAGATGCTGCTAATGGTCACTGGAGTATCAAAATGTAGAAGAACATCTCTTTTGATTTTACCCACCCGCTGTGTGCCACCAATGGATGTTTCAATTATTTCATCATTGAACGTGACCGACTTTAAGAGGGGGCTCTCTGGTTGTGAGTTTGGTAGAATTCGCTTTGCTCTCACAACTTTCCGGGGAGAAAGGTTTGCCATGCTTGATTCTGAAATTTATTTAAAAAAAAAGATAGCTTGTGTCACTTAGGCCCTAGTTAGTAGTTAGGCCTTAGCCCTTAGGCTACTCAGTACTCATTCAGAAATTCATGCATGAGTCATTACTACTGAAAGAATGAAGAATGAGTGAGTATGAATGAGGATTGAATGTGTTAGATTCTAGATCTAGACCAAGATTCGTAAATTTAGATTTTTAAGTATTAGATCTAATACTATTAGGGTACTTATTAAAAAACTTTCTTCTCGGTGTAGTCTACAATCTCTAGACCTCTAGTTAGGCAGATCTAGACTAGAAATCTAGATTTTCTACGTACCGCATCTACTTTAGTGTATTATCTTGTTAAGCCTAGTGTTACAAAAGCGCTCCTGGGTTATTCGAAGAATCACGCCTTTTGATTTCATTGGTTGTTTTTAATAACGATTCTATTTTTAGCACTACATTTTTAAAAAGTAACAATATTAAGGAAATAAATATGATACAGTAAATATTATAGATGGGAATAAATTAACCTTTAGTTCATTTTTTATTTTATTCACTGGATTTTTTCTCTTAATATTATCTTTAATTCGTATACATTTTTGGGTCAAACATGGGGTATTCTTGCATCAAAATTAAAGCAGGGGAGGTCATTATTAAAATGTTAATTTTTATAAATTGCTAAAGTTATCTGCTCTTATCTGCCTACACTTTGTTTCAAAAAATCAATAACATAACCTTTCAACTTTAAGAAACGTGCGATTTCATTGGTTAGCTACTTTGCGTTGACACAGACGTAAGGTCTGTAGGCCCTACAGTACACACATCATATTCACTTCGTTGTGTAAAGTTGTACAATCAAAGGCCGACCCGGCGACATCTTTTACTTTTTTAACGTTGAGTGTGCTCATTATTTGTCATTATAAAGCAACATTAGATCCTACCTTTCAAATGTCTGGGCTTAAACTCGGAATTCTTAGACTTGGCAGAGTTGCAGGAAAGGTTGGAATAATTTTGTAGTTTTTACGGTAAAAAAAATATTCTGTTACTGTTCTAACAGACTGGACGGGAACGATGATTTCATTACAAATATGAAATAATGAACACTGATGTGGGGAGAACAGCCTCAATTATTCAATTAAATCTGTTTATAGAGTGTACACTCTATGATCTGGATTCTATTAAAATCTAGTTCTAGAATTAAGAATAGAGTTTTTACACGTAGATCTAGATTCTAGTAGATCTATGTGACTTTAGTTTAGGTAGGTACTCATTTAATTTAACACTCAGCAGCCCCATTTTCAATTAATTTGACTAGATCTAGAAATCTAGATAGATCTACTAGAGTCTAGTAGATAAGAGATAAAAGAAAGTAGGCCTAACTAAAGATAATAAAGAAAGGTCATAAAACTTTAAATATTAAATCTAGATGGGGGGGGGGGGGGGGTCAGCGTGGTAGAGTCGGTAAAGCTCACGGTTGCGAAACCGAAAAGTCTCGAGTTCGAACCCTCGGGCAGATGAGGCTCGTTAGCTGGGGACAGCCACTCTTCTAGGAGAGACATCTCTAAAATCAAACAACTGCTGCCTTGTAGTTTGTTCTTGGTTGGACAAAGGCTGGAAGCAAATCCAAAAAGAAAAGCAGGCTGAAACCTGAGTCAATGGCCTCAATGCCGCATAACCAGTTGACATGTATACTTATTTGTGTTAGAGGCGTGGTCGAGTCAGCAAAAAGCTCATGGTTGTTAAAATTCGAAAAAGTCTCGAGTTCGAACCCTCTGGCAGATAAGGCTCGATCCCTTCCAACACTAAAAATTAAGAACGAAGAAGAAGAAATCTAGATCTATCTATGTATGTGTATTCTATCTAGCTAGATCTAGAATATAGATAAAAATCTTTCTAGTGTATCTAGAGTAGAGATTCTAGGCCTCTCCTAGATTGCTAGAAGAGTCTTTTTCTATTCTAGATCTAGATTATCTTCATTTAGCCTAGTGAGTATAATGATTCTAGATCTAGAATCTATATTTTTCATCATTTCTTACTAAGAATTCTTCATTGTCCTACCATCCAATCCTGTCATATAGGCCAATATAATCTGTAGGCCCTGCCCTATTATAGGCCTATTTAAAAAAAATGTTTTTATTTTACAGCCCCTATAATATAAATGCAAAATACTTTGAAAATTCACAATTGATTTTTATCATTGTCAACAATTATGATGGAAGGATTCTTATTAACTCGTTGATGTCCAATAGACTAAATTATTAGACTAGAATCTAGTTGCAAAATTAGATTCTATCAAGGCCCTAGGCCTAACTGTCTAATTAACCAACCTAATGTAAGTTTCCACTACCACCATCTTGCCTCCTTTGTCAATTTTACCTTCACAGCAGTTGTAAAAAATAAACTAACTCAAGCTTGAAAAATTTCAGAATTGTAATATTTGAAGAATCAATGATGTAAGCTAGATCTAAAAGTTGCAAATGTAGAGAACTTGAAAATAATTTGTTGTGTTTAAGGCTACATTTCTATTTATTTTCATCAAGCCTAAATTATAACAGAAGTTTCACTTTTGTAAGACAAGCAATTATTGGCTGTATGGAATCTCTGTGGTTGATCTTCTAAAACCCCGCTTTCTAGTAATTTGTACTCAAAACCTTGCAGATTTTCAGTGACAAATTGAAAACACCCAAATTTGTTTAGGCTTTTTTTTTGTTCAAATTTTGTATTGTTATCAAAAATACTAAAAACATAAATACATCCAATCTTTAGTAAAGTCTGATAAAAACCAAATAGTCAGGTTTTTATATGTATCATATTTTAATAACATCGTACATGATTTTAAAAATATTTAATGATCAGCTTTTCGACTAATTTTGAGACTAGACTCATTGGTGTAGATTGGATAGATGAAAAAACACACTGTGCATTGTTACAATCTAGAGTCTAGTAGAATCTGGTCGTAGTGACTGAAAAATAACTACTTCAACAATTCATTCATAATCACAAATACAAATAAAGAAGTTAATTTAGTACTGGCAGCATTCATATTTAAAGCTTGGGCATTGCATTCTGCTTAATTAACCTTTCAGTATATGTTAAGGGAAGTAACCCAAAATATTTTCTCATTCCCTTGTTTTCCACACAAAATTACTTTTTCTCTCTTTCAATATTGATTTAGTCGAAGTATGCCTTGTTGGATGAGAGGGATATTAGCATTGTTCAACAACATGCCATTGAGGTATATGCATTTTTAGTGTAACTGTCCATAACATTTTAGTTTTAAAAAAAAACATAGACAAATAAAAAGTTTAAGATTGTTTAATTATTAATGTTCCTGAAACCTATTATAACCATTTTGAAAAATCCTTCTTTATTAAAAAGTTTTGATATTTGTTACAAAAATATATTTTTAAACACATCACAGAAAAATATATTTTATAGAATAAAATTTAAATTCCTTTTTTTCTGCTACAAATTTCTTCTAGCCAAGAGTAGAAGTGGACAAAAATGGCAATGGAGCACGGATATATGCCATTGCACATGATATTGGAAAGAGTCGAAACTACGGGAAATATCTTCACGAGCTGCTTTGGTAAGTGTTTATCAATTCTGAATAGCATTAGCTAGCATGCTGGCTTCTGAAATAATGTATACATTTTCAATGGCTGACTTTCTGTTTTTTTTTTATTTTTTAAATATACTGTAAGTAATTTGGTATACAGGAGTTTTAAAAAAAATCCATTTGGCTTTCTGCTGAGCCTAGGGGTTGAGATGACGCTTTGCCAACAACTCAATAGGTGTCTCTTTTCTAACCCCCAGCTCTGAAAATCCATCTTCCATCTTGTTTCTTTTGAAAGATCTTCATGACTTTTGTGACCTCCCTTGCATCCTCTTGACCCTTGAATTCCACTCCTACTCCTATCTATTCTAGTAGCTTTTGACAGTTTAAATTTACTAGTAACCAGTATTATCTGGTTTTATAAAAAAAAAACAGCATATTAATGCTGCTTTGTTGGTTCTTTTTAAAACCTTTTGTTATAGCTATAATATTCACAATTATGGAGGGAAAGTCAATGAATAATTTTGTTGTCACTGTTGAGTGTACAAAAGTTATCTATTCAAACATTCCTAAGCCTCTACAAACCATAGTGTTAGAGGGCTTTACCACATTCTTTCACTTAGACTTATCTGTTTTGCTCTTCTGTGTCTAGAATCCAAGCTACTTTAAATATGTCTCTATACTAACTTCTATCTATTTGATGTCCACTGTTATGTTAAATGTTTCAAATTTTCAGGGAGAGGCATAAAGGTGGGATCGCACCAGGTTGGAGGGTGGTCCACAAAAATCATGTCACAGTGGATAACCGCCTGGATAACTTGGAGCTGGTGAAAGAGGATGGGATGGATATGTCGTCCCATCACCAGGACGAGGGGTCGGGTGGTCAGACCAAAAACCGGGAAAACAGTTTGTACTGGATTACTGTAACACAGCTGCTTGGTGACCCACTGGAAATGGTGAGTTGTTTCGATATCACCAGTTGTGTAGAATTTTTAAACTTGTTTTAATCGTTTAAATATGACCAATTGTGTCACATTTTAAAAATATTTAATCGTTTTGATATAATCAGTTGCTTAGAATTTCTATATTATGTCAGTTGGTCAGAATTTCTGTGTTTGGTAATTGTAATTATCTACATGTGGTCAGATGTTAAAATTGTCATCCGATCATAAATGGTTTAGAATTTTTAGATGGTCATTTACTTTTAAAAAATTGACCTTTTATTATATTCTTTTATATTTTTGTTATCTTTTATGAAAAAATGTGTATTTGTTAAATAATATAAAAATAATAGCTGGTTCTATTTACAGTTCTAATAAGTTTTTTTTTAAATTTATTTTTTTAGAACTACCACCATTTGAACAAGTGGTATGATTTCAATGGAGACATTGTAGATCCTGCAGGTAAATTAAAATTTAGAACACTAGAGCCAAATACTAAGATACACGAGCAACAACTTTAGTGCCTTAGTATGGTGGGTGGTTAGGCAGTTTTTTTCTACCTCTTCCCAGGTGAGAGCTACATCTATTATGAGTGTCACTACCCACCATGCACTAGGATGGAGAGAGAGCTGCGAGAGTTCAGTATATGTGGGCGGTGCCAGGAAGTTAGGTTGGTCACTTACAGTTTTCATTAGAAATTAACTGTGACTTAATTATCTTTAACCATTAATGTCCCATACATTCTACCAAAACTCCACCCGTGACGGCCCAATGTAAGGAGCATAACTCTGTATGATCAAGTGAATAGTTTCACAAAATATTTGTTTTTGTCTAAATGAAATTGAAAATTAAGATAAAAAGTACTGCTTAATAATGGGAATAAACCTGGCTTTCCAACAGTATTAAATAGAATATATTATATTCGGTACAAGTACAGTATAAAAATAAAAAATGTCGGAGAAAATTCAAAACAGGTCATTTTCGGTAGTCAACTATTTATTTTTGTCTAAACAACTATGCATCGAATTTAACAGTTAAATATCAATTTGGTTATGTTTAAGATATATAATTCATAAAATACATGCCTAGATATGTTTAGAGGCATTATTTTATTTTATTTTTAATATTAAATCTACTAAAAATAGGACAGATGAGTCTAAAATTTCGAGATATTATTATTTTTTATCTTTCAAAAGCGCCATTGAAATTAGAAGACCGGAAAAGGATGCTGAAACTATCCGACTTCCTGTTTAGTTAAAAATTAGGATTTGTAGGCCAAATTTTAATGAAACAAATTTAATTTTTCTATGCGTATTGTAAGCGGGCGGCAGCGGGCGTTACGGGACATGAACGGTGTCGGGCGGCAGCGGGCGTTACGGGACATTAATGGTTAATTATATAATTATCTTTAATTATATAATACAATTTTGAATAATTTTTTTTTTTTGGTGCTGTTTACATCGAGGCTAGAATCATGGGATTAGGATACTGATTTTAAAAAAACGTTACCTTTAATTAGCACAGCTTAAATACAATGAAGTACTGTTTAATATTTTAATCATAAGTTGTCAGACACTTTAGTACTTATCCAATATGATTTTGTAATAATTTAAAATACAAGTAGAGTAGTAATCATTCATATACATTATAAATATTATGGAGTTAAATATTGTATTACTTATCCAATATGATTTGTAAAAATTAAGATATTTGTAGAATAAAAATCATATAAAATATAACAGGCTTCCAACCCCCAAATATCCAGAGAGACAGGTTTAGATTATTGTGTAGCCACTTCATATAAAGGGGTTTGTATACAAAAATAGTCATCCTTTTTAGCCCAGGGCAGTTGATCTAGAGTTCACCTTCGGTAACCTGAGCTGATAAATGGATAGTTTGATCAACTCTAAACCCCTAAACTTGTCAGGTATCCATAAGTGCCGGGTGTACAGGGATATCTTATATTAGTCATTGAACCAAATTTAAAGTTTTGGAGAGAGGTGTTATGTGTCAAACATACTCTCCCTTGAAGAGTTGTTGTGGTCAGGACCTCTAAGGGAAAAAAACTAGTGTACAACATGTATTTTATGTGGTCAGTGTTCTTAAAGTCTTTACAATATAAGCGTTTTACAAAATGACTGCGGCATAGTTTTAAACTACTCTGCAACTGAGCAGCGTAAAGAGAACATTGGTCAGGACAAAGCCTGGTTGTATTAATTGTTTCTGGAGACCTATCAGATCTAGACACTACTGTCACAATCACTTGACAAGTTCATTCCTTTTTCTTATAGTGCTATCAAAAAGGTCGCATAAATTTTAAAAAAACAACTTGTGCCTCAACAGATACTGTGGTACTTCTTGCCAAGAAAGAGATTGGCCCTCCCACAAAAGATTCTGCTGTTCATTCCTTTTTCTTATAGTGCTATTAAAAGGTTTCGTAAATTAAAAAAAACAACTTTTGCCTCAACAGATACTGTGGTACTTCTTGCCAAGAAAGAGATTGGCCCTCCCACAAAAGATTCTGCAGAGAGCGCAGAAGACACACAAGGGAGAGTACACCGGATCGGTGATAGCCAGCCATTGGATAACATGTGAAAACGATCCTTCCATTTGACATCCTGTCTAGTCTTTTAATATATTCATTGGTTGAGTCTTAGTCCCACTTTGCCCCAAGTTAACCTAGTCATTTCATCCACCCAGATCATTTTAATCTACTACCATCTGTTTTTATGCATTTTTGATCATATGTCATAATACAGTTCATAAATCAGAAGGATTAGAATATGTGATATAATTGTGATATAATATGAAGCGACGACAGTCACAACGCCTACATTTCTCAAAATTAAGGGATAGGAAAACATTTGTGATAACTTTAACTTGTAAGTTAAATCCATCTGTACTATATTTTTAGAAAAAATTTGTGACTAACGTTGAAATTGAATATGGTAGCATTACTAAACTACACATAGGCCTACTTGGTTGTATACTGACGTTTATTATTTCCCTTTTTTTGTTAGTGCAATTATGTAAGACTGTCATTTTCCCCCTCAAGTATAATGAAATGCATTCCAATGTTTTTTTTTAAATAATTTTTTTTAATGATCCAAATCCTAACAAGATGGGTTATGGTTTAGCTAGCTTTAATTACCTTTGTATTACTGCTTACTGTTCTGATATTAGAATCTCGTATTGAACCTGTCTCATCTTTAACTGTTATGTTGTATTGATTGACTTTTTAAAATCAATAACTGACACCAGATCAGATTGCTTGCAGGTGAACCCATTGTTCTGTTTACTTTATTGACAGTATCTAGTCTGAGTTGTAAAGGGAGATAAGATGTATGACATAATATCAACAATTGTACATTTTTTATAGTAATAGATCTTACCTAAACCCTGAGTTATGCAAGTTCATAATTTGGCTGGCCACTCCACGCTACCTGATTTATGATACAACTTTTTGTACTTAATTAAGGAAAATACCTGATCAAAATGATGTAAAGTTAATTAAGAAATATAATTATTTACTATAGTAGGTAACATAATGATGGTAAGGCAAACTGTAAAGTACATTCGATTTATTCCAAAGAAAATAATTCATTTTAATATTGCATGAAACTAAATTAAATTGCTTATGAATAAATTCTGCACTTGCATGATGAACTTATTTAAAACCATGATTATGACAGTTTGTCTGGTTATTTATCTAATGTAAACTTATTTTAATATATTCCTGTATGAAAGCTGTTTTCTATTTAAATTTTCATATTTTTAATTGATCATTTATCTCACCAATCAATAAGCATTTAAACATGAAGTTCAGTTATTTAGTACTTGAATATTGTATTATCTATTTACGGCTCATCTTGGTTGGGAGATGTTCGTGCCCCTACCAAAGCTTTGGATGCATGATTAGATATTTTTAGATGTGCCATAAAGGCTGCCATTAGAGATTTTTAGGAGTGCCTCTGAGGCTGCCATTAGCTATTTTTAGAGGTCTTTAGAAATACCATACATTAAATAATTATGACCTGGCTAAATTTAAACAGTACGTGTGTAATGTTATTTTTTTTTTCAACTAAAAAATGTCTACTGTTTTTAAATGACTGTTGTGTCAAGATAGTTTTAGATCATTTTTAAAACCTTCCTGTGTTTGATTTGTGTGCAATATTCAATGGCTGATTACAATATTTGTAATTTTTTAAACACATTTTTAAATCTGCTTTAAAAGAAGTCATTTTGACTGATTAAAATCTTTTCTCGTATTAGTTTTATTTCATACTAAATCCACTAATGTGCTGTGGTGTTGTCCATTCCATAACTAACATCATACAGTTCAGGTCCCTTTTCAACTTCAACAGCGCTCCTCCCCCAGTATTGTCATGTCAAAAAGTCAGACTCCGCCTCTCAGGTGCTCTATGTCATTATAAAAATCTATGTATAAAATATACATATGGAATTTTGCAATTGATTCTAAGTAAACAATACTTCATTCTCTAAAACGTATTGTAGATATTGTCTACTTTGCAGGTGTTAATAAGATAACTTTATGTACATAATACATGTTTCCAATCAGAATTCCTAAATTTGCTTTATCATGTTCTATAATCCTGTCACAATTTTTTGTTTATCACATTCCTGTAAGTTGAATCCCTAGGATTAAATATGTTTATTAATAAATTGCTACAAAGAACTGAAGCATAAACACAAATTATTTCAACAATGATGTGTGATCAACTTTATGACAAGTTAGAAAAAAATGTGCAAATATTTCAGAACTACTCATTATATTTCCTTTTGAATATATATGTAGTTAACTACCAATACTTGCAACTGATTTTTTGTTATTGTTTGTTAACCTTTTAACATGGAGAGCATTCCATTTGTAATCATAATTTTTAAATTTACGTACTAATTTTGTAATGAGAGTATTTTTTTTTATTAACACAAATTATTTATAAATGGTGTCATCATTAATTTTATTATGGTATTCAATTTAAAAAAATTGGTTTCAGCATATTTGTCCATATTAAAAAAGAATTTTAAATGTTTTAATCATTTGTTAATTGTGTGTATTTTAAAAAATGTTAATCTGAATTTTTTTTTTATCATGCATTTACATACACTTTCCTTTATAATTGGCAAACCAGACACAATGAATCTTCTTAAAAAATCAACAAATAAAAAAATACTCTTAACTACAAGAAAATTTAAAATGTTTTATTTTTTTTTATGCAATGAATAAATAAAAAAAAAAATACAGATAAAAGAAAAAAAACAGTAGGCCTACATTCATAAAGGTGAAATAATATTTAAAAGAACAAAACAAAATATGGTAAAAATAATGTTACAGTAAAAACTTGGAATTCTTAAGGTGGTAGATGATTAAAAAGAACTTTCACTCCCAAAGAAAAAAATTACTGAGTCACACCATAGAAATTAATTTAGTTAATGTAGATCCTGAAATATTTACAATTTTTCAATTGCGGTAATTGCAAAGTTAAAAACAAAATTATCATGCATGCACATTGGTTTATTTTAAAAAAGAGAAAATGCTGTCACATGATACATGATTTTGGCTTTATAACAAAAGTGAAATGAGTATGATGTAAATTGAGTATCATTTCTGTTGCTTTTAGTATATATAAAAAAAACTAAAAAAAAACAAACAACAAGCACTTGTTTGACTGAGCTGAGGTTCCATATAGCGAGCAGAAAAATTATTTCGGAATTTACCAATGTGTCATGTCCACAACACACATATTGTGCAAGAAAAAAATATTTGTAAGTTATAAAAAATTAATAATTTTTCTAAATATAAAAAAAAATGACCCACTAAATATTATAATTATAATTTAATGGCTACTGCCAAATTACATGTTAGGTGAAGGAAAAAAAAAAGTTTTTATATGTTGGTTGTTATAGGTCTGAAACATCTATAAAAAGACACAAATACTATTTAGAAGAGATCATATCTTTAATCTCATGAATAAATAAAATTGTTTATAACGAAAGGAAAATTAAAAACATGTCAAATCACAAAAAATTGTGGAATGAGAAATAGTAAGAATAACAATTACTTCCAAGAAAACATTTCAAACAGATTGAGTGATTAGTCCACAGCTGAAGAGACAACTCTTGACAAGGGAGAAAATCATAAAAAAAGCAAGGCAAGAACATAAAATAAACATAACTTATCAGTTTGGAAGTATGTTTTCAGTATTTAATCTACATAACTGTTTTATGCACAGTGTACATGAACAAAACAAGTTTAGAAACCTATGTAATTAATTAAATACTAGTATGCCATTTTTTTGCACTGAGCAACAAGTAAAACAAAAGGCACTAGGTGATACCATTCTCTAGGAACAAAGGAAAAGTTAATAAATTTTTAAAATATCAAAACAACTCATTTTTATGCTCATGTATTTTTAAAACAGAATTTTTTGAGGTAATCAAATCACAATGGAAAAAAAAAAATATAAATAGTGCACTACAAGTTAAAGCTGGTGAACACCCAATAAATAAATAGCAGCATGAATGTAAGAAAGTCAAAACTCTTAATCCTGTTGTAGAACGGCTGGCTTATGAACATTACTTAGATGGTTATGCCCATATAGAGAAAGAGAAAAATTTAATTATCTACAAAATAATTTGTTTGAAAGGTGGTTGAAACATTTAAAATAAATTAGTTTTACATAATAAGTTCAACAGTATCAGAATCACAGAATGTTGTCAATTACAGAAATAAATAATGATTTCAAAGAACTAATAGATCAAAATCACGGAAATCTCACTCACTGAGCATCACAGACCTTTGCCATTTGATTGCAAATATCTATATCAACATTGCTACTTGTTAAAAAAAATTTTAAACCCGGCTTTTCAATGTATGCATGGCCAGCCATGAAGACATACAATGTGTGTGAGTAAAGCTGTAATATCAATTTGCATTTATTATGTCAAGTTTAATAAAGAAATATTTTTAAGGATTTTTTTCATTTATTTTCACATGCAAGAAAAATTATGCAACCTTTTGTATTTGTTGAATTAGTTTAAAAGTGTAGGACATTATAAAAAAAGTGAATAGCCATTTCAGTTTTTAAAGATTTTATTATAAACTGACTTTTTAAATTGAAAATTCATTGAACTATCATGAGAGGGCCCATACCTAGGCAGCATATACTACAATTCTTTAGGTTAAGATTTTTTTCAAATTCAAGACTATAACACTTTAATTTGTATCTTAACTCTTTAATTACTTAAATGAAATTTTAAAAATAATATTTCAGAAAGAAAGCATAAAAAATTTAAGAGTTTACTTCATTAAAATTTTCTATTAAATCTACACAACATTTAAAAGCTTACATCTAGCAAGCTTGTTAAAATGCTTAGAAACAGCTGAAAAGTTCTGGAATTTAAAGTAAAGACCAAGTTGTAACTTTGTAAAGATAATTTGGAGTAAAAAAATTTACAATAAATTTGTGCACAATTGCCCAAGTAAAAAAACACCAATCAAAATTACAAATCTATCTACTTGTATTTGAATTGAATAAAACAATACACATCTATTATCACATTTTTGTAATAACAAAAAAACAGATAAAATAAAAGTATAATTTATAACAAAAAGAAACACCAATAAAATAAGATGGATTAAAAGAAATATTATTTGATGACACAGAAACAGTTATATCAATAGTAAAAAATATGAGATAAGCTGGTACCTAAAGAGGATGGCTAAGACAAAGTTACATAGTATACTGTTAAATAATTAAAAATCGATGTAGACCTATAACAGTTTCTTATTTCGAAGAGTTAATTATCTTTTGTTTTATTGTATATTTTTAACAAGCAACAAACAAGGTCCATTTTAAATTATGAATCAGAAAAAAAAGGTGGTAAATGAGAAGATGCTGACAACAGCTGACAACATGCAAACCAGTGAGGTGTAGAACAGATCCTACTACAGACCTGGCCATTCATGCAAGTTAACCCTTTAACAGATGACTTCACCCACACATTTTATGACTTCACATATACAGTAATCAAACAAAACACATGACACAGAATGCACACACCAACCTGAATTAATTTTATCTAGATTTATAAATATTTTAATGATATGATCTTTATGGTCTGGTAGGGTTTGATCAGCCATACCTTGAAAAGAGCCAGTTTTAAAAAATCAGCTATAAGTGACAGCTAGTCCCACTTACCTCAGATCCTGTTTAGTCTTACAAGTGTATTTGGGCTATTTTTGTATTTCAAGCAATCAACATTCAAACTTGTTAGTTTTCAAGCAATCAACCTTTCAGTATTTTGCTTACAAGCCATCATCAGACCTATCATACATCTACTTATCATTACAGTTCTATTTGTTTAAAACACTAGTTATGAACTACCTTTAATTTCAAACCATTAAGAACGTATCTATAAACAATAGTATTTATATAAACTGCCAGTAATATTGGATATTAGCCTATAATAAATTTAAGAAAATATACTGAATATAAAATGATGATGATATACAGATCATATCTCTAAGGTATAATGTCTGAATTGTTTTATAACATTTATGTTAATCTTCCTAATGAAAAACCCCTAAATTTTTAAATGCTCCAAGTGAAACATGTTTCAAGACAATGCTACAGCTAAAATGCCAGCCTGATCAGGATGTAGTACACCCAATTCATACATATATAATGATAAATATAGGAAATGTATACATCTATTTTTGTGGTAATCATATCTGAAAAAAACATATTACTAGAAATGGAATATTAAAATGGAATTAGTTGCGGCAAAAGGGGATATATTTTTTTTTAATCAGAATTGGAATTTACAAAAAAAAAAAAGATTCAAATTTTGTAAAAGGAAATAATGAACTTGCTGATAATAATTGTTTTTATTAGTTTACTCATTTGTGCATATCAATTTATGAAATTTATCATGTATTAAAATTATTTCATTTAAAAAGAGATTCTATACAATGCAAAAAATACAGCTTTTTAAAAAGATGTTTTTTTTACACAGTTTACTAACAACAGACATTCAGGACAAATGCAAGTTATTTTTTTAAAATAAAAATAATCAAACACAAGATAAAAGGGGGATAATTAAAAATAAACATGTTGGTTACATCTAAGTGAATGAAATATTAATTATCACAAGAATTGGAAGGGTATTATGTACAGTTATTAATATTGCAGTTATGGAAATTAAATGGTATGGTTTCATTGTCTTAAATGAAACATTAAAGACAAGAGGTTTACATTTTAGCACAAAAGACAATATGAAACAGATTACATTTTAATAACGGTGATGTTAGCTCATGTATGCTAATTTATTCTTAATTACAGTTTTTGAAATTACCTTGAAGTTGCTTTTTTTAAAATTTGTCTGAACGTGTTTTTTTTTTGCTTAGCTTTCAGTTTAGATCCAAACACCTGGCTAGAGTATAATTAAAAATTATCAATAAAAAATGTAACAAATATCATTTTTTAAAAACAGTTTGCCTAGTTTAGTCAAACTCTCTTTAATGTAATGTATATCAAATCATCAGAATAAGTTGTTAAAATGAATTTCATATAATTTATTTATAGATTCAAATGCTTTGGTCTACAAATAGACATTATAAATATTCATTTTAATAAACCTAACTACACAATAACTAGAATAATATTTATGACACCTCGTTTTAAAAACAAAACCCAAATATTTTTATAAAGATTAACAATTTAGCTACCTATTAATGAATTTTGAGTTCATATCAAATACTTTTTAGAATGGTTTAAAAATAATTACAGACTTTTTTAAGTAAGCTGTCTCTTATTCCAAAATTATTAAAAACCTCGAGTAACAAAATAAACATATATCTTTATCACAAAACAATCCACTCTTATTCCACAATAAATTTAGTTAAATACATACAAATCACAATATGTTTTAACACCCCATGCGTATTGTCTCAACGACAAAAACGTTGAGTTTCTCTCCAATAGTGTTGATGAGAATAAGACCCTTCCAATCGTTCTCAAACGAGACTGTCGTAGAGAATTAATAAAAAACTCAAAACTCCGAAGACTCTATATTTTATGGTTAAAAAAAAGAAACGAAACGAGAAATGTAGCTGAAGATTCCAGCCATTTTGTTTTGACGAGAGCAAGTCCAGATCTAGATCCTCTAGATCTACTGGATCAACGATTTACACTGATGTATAACCTACGTAAATCTGCAAGATCTAGATTTAAATTTAGATCTAGAAATCTACATTATTGACTAGAGAGAAAAGTTAAAAGTATGCCTAGTGCCTCGTAAGTAAATGATAGATCTGGCTAGATCTAGAATCTAGTTCTAGATCTAGATCTAGTAATTTTTCAGTAACACTAGAGATCTAGATCTAATAGATTCTAGATCTAGAATAGAAAGATAATTATTTCCGTGGCATAGCTGTCCTTTTGGATCTATTCAATTTTAAATCTCTTCTATTTCAAATTGTTTGTAGATCTAGATCTAGACCTGTATCATGTATGTACAAGCTTAGGCTTAGGTCTAAAAATTACTAAAGCTACACATTAGGCCTACACATTATTCCTAAACTTAATGGAACATGGCTAAAATTCACTGAGCATTGTTGCACTTGGCGCTTAAGACTTAACACGTAAGGCCTAAATACTAATACTAAATAAAATTATTACGTCTACGTTAGCTTAAGTAAGACCTAGATTCTCTAATTTTCGTGACAGCTTTTTCTTCTTTTTTTGCCCTGCTTTATTTAAGTCACTTTTATGTGCTGGTAGCTTAAAATAAAACTTGTTCAGGAAGTTAATTTCTTTCTCCCTTTCATAATGCTGCAAATATGAGTAAGACGCATATTATTAAAATTAAATAGCTGCGATGAATAATCATTTGCATCTTTTTGGGGGTATTTCTTTTCCATGAACTGTGAAAGCCACAGAATTTGGTATCTCAAATTTTGCTTGTAACTCAAAGCGATTACTCACTCAACTGCGCGTATTTAAAAAATCTCGTATGTCGAGGCACTAGAATGTTGATGTACCACAGGATCTACTATATATTGAAAGAAAATATAAATTAATTATAGAATAATAGGCCTATAATATAGGCCAATATAGTAATAAAGGATAGCTTTAGATTTTATTCAGCCTACTAATAAATAATTAAATAGGCCTAAAGTAGTACTAGATATTAGATAAATCACTAGTTCAGACTGAGAATCATGAGCAATGAACAAAAATGTAATGTGTGTATTGTATAGGCTTATTTTTATTAAAAAAACAGATCATATCTTATACATTAAGGGCTCAATAAAATAAAAATAATTTATTTAGGACCTAGGCCTATGTATTGGAGATCTAAAATTCTAAATGAAAAATAAATTATTAATTAGACCAACAATATGCATAGTAGTATGATAGTAGGCTAAATCTATTTTAGTATTTAAATTTAAGGCTCAGCCATCTACTAAAAATATTATAATTGTCATAAGTTAAAACTAGACCAAGCCTATTTTATTAGTAGAAATAGTATTAGTATTAGCCATTAGAGTTAAGATGTTATAGCCTTATGTAAATTAATGTAATCAGTGTTAGATATTATGATATCGAGAGCATATATTATATAATATATAATATCGGATAGGGGCCTGCACTCTCTTAGTCATTAGTCTATTAGGTCTTACAAGTAGTTTAGCTTACTTATATATTATATAGGCTAAGTTATTAAATTAGGCCAAAGGCTTATTAGGAAAAGGCTTAATAGGCTTTAGTTTTTAATTAGGCAACAAGGCAGAGGCTTAATGTTGCGTATAGATTTAATTTTAAATTATGATTATATGCTACTCTGCGGTTATCACTATATAGAGTATATTATAGCCTAGGCCTATCTAAATAAAATAATTCAACTCACTTAGCTTACCATAATTTTTAAAAATGTTTTGTTAAGTATTCAGCTCTCTATGTCAGCTAAGGCCCATAATTGTAATTATCCTACTGTTAGATATATTAATTATTTAATAGTTAGTAGGCCTAATTATAGGAATTAGGTCTGATACATTGTCCTATACATTGGTCGTAGAGTAATACTATTGGGCTAGTAATTATATACAATATCTATACAAGCCTACTTATCGTTAATTTGGAAGTCTTTGCATTGACCTTAGTTTTTATAAAGGTATTTTTTTTTTATTTCAACTGGAGGTAGTTTTGATAACTATTAGTATTCTGAAAATTAAAATAGGTAGACTTAACATAAATTTGTTCTGAAAACATATTTAGAAATTGGTTTTAAAAAAATGAGGTTAGGATTGGGGTGATAACTAGTTGAGGATTAGATATGAAATTCATTGTGTTTATGCATGTTGTAATTTCTCTTTTACAGGTTCACCCAAAAAAAAGGGAAGATCTGATTTTTACCAGTAATAAGACTACAGCATACTAAATGACACAAGATGTTCTTTCTCTATTACCTCTTACATTTGACATAAAAGCAGGAAAAGGTATGACACTTATTAATAAGCTGCTTTAAATTTTATAATTTGTTTTTTTTTTATAACTTTATTGTACCACTTTTATTTCCAATGATGATAAATATAATTTAGTGTCATTTATTTTTTAAATATTTATATTATACTTATACTAGATATAACAGTCTATGCCTACAACATGGATCTCCAGGACTAAAACTGAAAAAATTTGCAATCAGTATATCACAAGGGTTTTAATACAAGCATCTAATCTGCTTTAGTGGCCAGAAGTGGGTGAATCCTCTCAAACTTGAATCAGGTAAGTTATCACAAGTTTACTTTGGTTTATTTTGAACATGTTGATTGAGATAGATTTTTATTTGTATAAATATTGTATTTAAAAAAATATTTTACCTAGTAAGACCAAGTCATTTGTGATGATTGATACAATATGTATTTTTATAAATAATTCTATATCTTTTTAAATATTTGTTTTGCAAAATATGATATATATATATATATATATATATATATATATATATATATATATATATATATATATATATATATATATATATATATATATCTTACATTATCATTTAGTGGTTGGTCTTACAAATTTGAATTATTTACTTAATTTGTCTTAACTGCTCAACAGGAACTAGGCATACCTAATGAGCGTCAAGCTGATACACTAGATCGAGGTCTCCAAACTTTTCAGTCCGAGGGCCGCATTAACTATCAAATTTCAGTTCGGGGGCCAGTTTCTTCCAGGCATGTCTTTGATTTTTCTGGGCAAAGTTCCTCAGCCATCACCAACAAACGTTTTTTCCGTGGAAAAAAGATCTCCGCGGGCCGGTTGAGAGGACCTCGCGGGCCGCATCCGGCCCGCGGGCCGTAGTTTGGAGACCCCTGCACTAGATCTACAGAAGAGTTTATACACAAGATAAATATTGATACATTTTAAGTTTTCCTTTTTTTAGGGATACATGTAGTGTTTTGGGAGAAAGGAATTAAATTATTTAAATTAGGCCTAATAGTTTATTTCTCTAGCTTATGTTTCACTTAAAAGAACTTACATTTTTCCCCCTTTATCACTAAAGCAAAAAATTTATAGATATCTATGCCATGATTCATCCCATTCAATCACTTTTTTCTTGTTTTGTTTTGATGTATTAAACTAAAGATTTTTTTTTGCTAATGTTATTATTTCAGATGGATTTTTAAGAAAATCATTTTGTTTTGTTTCAGGAAGTGAAAAGTGATGTGAAAGGCAACTAATACTTCCATCTACCATAGTTAAACAAGAATCTGCAAATGGCGATAATTGCAATAATCCTGATATATTCATTTTTGGCTTTATTGTCAGGTTTGATAAATAAATTATTTCGCAAAATTTGATGTATTTGGTTTTCTTACTGTGTACATAAGATGCGAGTGATTGAAAGCTGAAAAGTGTAGTATGTAGTTATAGTATTCCCAGCACAATTTGACATTAAAACAGTTGAAGCCTTTTAAAAAAACAAAAAAACTAAAAATAAAACAATCTAGGAATGCTGTTTCTATTAGCTGAGCACATATTTGGAAAATAACATAATTGTTTACCAGAGAATACTGTGACCCAGTTTGTACTCCAGGCAAAAAGTGCCTATGTTTATTATTATTAAGTTAAAGAAAAGTATCAAACAAACAGGATAATATTAATAATAAAGACCTCCACACTAGAGAAGTATGGATGGAATGAGTGTTGCATGGAATCCAAATCAACTTTGATGTTGCTTATTGCTACACTGGCCATAATTGGCCTACATTGACTTTTGCTGAGGTAGGCAACTGTTTTTGTTTAACTTTAGATGTCGACTAAATAAAGAAGAAAACTGACACGCCAATACCAAAATCAAGAACTTGTAAAATTTGTGGTTGCTAAACCGAGAAGTCCTGAGTTCAATCTCCCGTGTAGATGAGGCTCTATAGTTGGGGATAGCAACCTATCTTGGGGATACAACACTTGTTCTTGGATTTAAAAAGGATAAGAAAAGAAATCCAGAAAGAAAAGCAGCTGAACGAAGAAGAAAAAGGCTGGATATATTCGGTATCAACTGCACAATTTTAACAGACACACATTTCAAACTACACATGCATTTCAATGACAAAGTTCAGTGAAGCCATAATGTTGAGTTTGACTGAATGAAGAACGATATTGTTATTTCAAGCAAAGTTAAGGTTTATTGTCTTAAAGACATTGTCGTGGATTGATTTAGACTAAGACTTCCCTGTTAAATAAGCCGACAACGATGGCTCTTCTTATTTCTCGTCTTTGATGTTGCTTTCAAGAACTTGTATGAGATTAGATTACCTACATAAGGCTACAAAGTTTGGAATCTTGGCTTTCTAATAGTGGACCTGGCTACATGACATTGCCCCCACCCCGTTAATTACCCCCCCCCCCCCCGGAGGAGACCCCCCTCCCGTATTTACCCCCCCGGGGCAATTACCCCTTGTCAATAACCCCCCTGGAGAATCCCCCCCCCACCCCCCCCCCCCCCCCGGCCTCAAGTTATGATCCTAACTCTAACTCTATACCTATGTATGTCCTTAATCCTAATCGATAAAAAAAATGACCAAACCCTAAGCATTCACCTCAGCCTAAAACTTAACACATAACCAAAACCAACTCTAGACTTAGGTTTCAGCCTAACCTTGACCATAACACTAACCCTAATCCTAGCCTTAATCCTAACCCTGACCATAACACTAACTCTAATTCTGAACCTAACCCTAACCTTAGCCCGAACGCTAACCCTAACCTTAGCTCGAACGCTAACCCTAACTCTAGCCCTAACTCTAACCCTAGCCCTAACGCTAACCATAACCCTAACCTTAGCACGAACGCTAGCCCTAGCCCAAACTCTAACTCTAGCCCTAACTCTAACCCTAGCCCTATTAACGCTAACCCTAGCCGTAACCCTAACCATAATCCTAACCTTGGCCAGAAATCTAACCCTAACTTTAACCCTAGCCCTAACGCTAACCCTAACCCTAGCCATAACCATAACCCTAACCCCAGCTGTACCTTAAGAGGTGTGTCCGTGGGGGGGGGGGATGTCCTTCTTGGCGGGGGGTAAATGACAGGGGATAATTGCTTCAGGGGGGGGGGGGAGAGAACTAATAATCTGTACGGCCTACTATTCAACACATTTGGTTAACACAATGTCGTCACACATGTAAAACAAAATAAGCAGTGTTTTTATTATTTGTATCCTTAAAAAATGCAAAATAAATGCTACGCCATTAACTCAACCCTCTTTTTTCTCGTTACATATCGTCACATAAAGCCACCGCCCAAAATGACGGTGACGTCAATATACAATCATAAAGTGGTCACCCATTAACGACGACTCACTCTTCAGACGATTTTGCACCCAACCCCCCTTCTCTAATTGTAACACATTTTCACAAAAAGCCAGATCTTCGCTTCCCCCCCCCCCCCCCCCCACCACCACTCTCTTTAAAAACACCACACCTCAACACATAACCCCCTCCGCCGTTCCCCTGAAACTGCATTTTTACTTTCTCGTATATACGAAGTATAGAGAAAGTCTTGCAATCGTGCAAAAAAATCGAGATTTTTTTTACAAATCTCGACGTTTTACACCTCACTGATACGGAAAAACATAATTGTGCAATCTTGTCCGTATGTCTGTGTGTCTGTGTGTGTCTGTGTGTAAACACGATTACTTGAGTACCGTTACAGCTAGGTTGATGAAATTTCATATATAAGTATTTTATCAAAATCGTAGATCCGTATAAACTTTTGAGCGATTTCCGATAACCGAAAGTAGTACTTTTTCTACTTTGAATTTTTCAAAAGACTATAACTTGAGTACTATTTCAGATAGATAAATGAAATTTCACATGTAAGTAAAAAATCTAATTCTCTGCCTTCTGTCAAATTTTGAGTAATTTCCGTTGACAGGAAGTACTAATTTACGCTATTTCCGATATCTCCCAAAAAAACGCACGTAAATTTATAAAGTACTAATAATGTTGCGCACTATTATGCACATCTTTATTTGGCGTTCACTTGGTGTGCAATTCTTTTTTCTACGAGGTTTTATTCTATTTTAAAAAGTTTAAGTATTTAAAGTGGATTAAAAATCATGTCTATTTCCCGAGTTGCCATTCCCCGTAGTGTTATATTAGAATATTCGAGAAAGTTTAGGGGAGATCACTCCCGGTTTATTATAATATGTACTGACCTCGATAAACATTAATTAATAAATGAATTAATACCAAAAGCAACCTTTTAAAGCCCGAAATAACGGATGAAAGCAAAAATGTGTCGTCACACTTTCCGATCACCCCTTCCCATAAATGAAAAAAAAAAAAGCCTGAACATACTAAAGGAGAGTATGGATGTTGATGGAGGATCCCAACGTTAAAAATTAAAACAGGGCAAAATTTCAGGAATCCATGTTACATATTATTATTTTCCATAGGTATAACAAAGGTATTTACATTGTGTTTTATATCTTACGAGCCGCTATCATACGCCGCTATTTAGTTGTTTCATTTTCTACTTTTCAGTAATTCATAATTTGTGAATTCGACAGTAACAATACTGCCACTGAAAATATTTGCTTTAAAACACTATCAGTAGCTCGTTAAGGACGATAACCTCCCCTCCCCACCCTCCTTTCCCACAAACCCTACCCCCCCTCCCAGTGAAAGCAGCCCCCTCTGAGTTACCTACATTAAGTTTAAAATAGTTTCAAACTAAATTATCTGCCCCTAATAGCTGTCACTAAACCCGGCTCTACGATTGTAAACATTTAGCTTGAACCACAGCTCACCAGACCATGTAGGGATGGGGGTGGTAGGGATAGAGAGAAAGAGAGGGGGCTGCTAGGGGCGCTTACCGCTTGGTGTTTTCTATGGTATCCATGAAGAGAATTATTTCTATAGAAGAAATATATATTAAACCAGCGTACCCGTCCCGCGCGTTGCTGCGGTCTCAGAAGACAGACTGACGCAATATTTTAAGAGGATTCCATAATTACATTAGCAATCACGTATTTTTTTACGCTTGACATTGATTTCTAAATCTAAACAATTTAAATGTAATCAAAGCCGGTGTTATATTGCTTTCATCATAGTTGTTGAGGCGCAAATTCTACCGCACACAGTAGCCCATTGTATCCATAATGTATCGCACTCTTTAAGACGAACGTAGGCGCAATACTGTTTATGAGGGACCCACACAGAGGCGCTAGACCACACGCCAGTGGTGCAGTAGACACAAGTTTCCCTACTGTAGGGCGCTCTTTTAAAACTCATAGTGTTCCTCCCGAAGCCAGGGGCGCACCGGGTCAAACGAATTGTCATCGAATGTCGTGTGCCACAGAGTCAATACTGTAGAGTGCTCTTTAACACAACCTTAGGATATCCCAGGGCGCCAAATCGCATCCTGCCGGGGCGCCGGCAGACGCGCCTGATTCCATATAGTCAACAATTATTGTTGCCCATCGTGTCTTTAGTGTATAAATTAAAAAAAAAAAACGAACGTAGGCGTCATAGTGTTCACATGGTAGCACCGGGCGCTTCGGGTTACGTAATATCCGGGGCGCCGGCGGCTGCGCCTGTTGTTGTTTTTTTACCTTAGCCCCCATGCAGAAGGCTCAAGTTTTAATATCGCCGCCCTGGATTTTCGGGCGCCAAGCCGTTTATTAACAAAAATCGCACCCTTCAGGGAAACGCCCATAATAAATTTTAATTTTTGTTTTCGCAGAAACCTTCTCGTGAGTGTTTTCATTAACTCTCGAAAGTTTAACGGCACTCAGATGAACGATTTAAAACAGCATCCGTTTTGTTTTTTACAAACTGTGTAGAGAAAAATTGCACCCTCCAGGAGCGCCGCCCTGTTAAAATAAAAAAAAAGAATTTTATACTCTAACCTCCCCTGAAGTTTTATGGCGAGCGGATGAACGGGATTAAACCGCAATCTACTTTTTCGTATATATACCCTATATAGGGAAGAATCGATTCGCGCCCTGCTGGGGCACCGTGCTTGTGAAATATATCCAGTGGTATTCTTAACTTAAGTTGCATGGCCATAGGATGAAAGGTGTAGTGCTGCATAGAGGACATAAACAAACCCACAAACAAACAAGCAAAACTTCATTATATATATACATAGAGAGAAATATACATAATTCTACATATGCATATATGCATATATATATATATATATATATATATATATATATATATATATATATATATATATATATATATATATATATATATATATATATATATATAAAACTAGATTTGGTGACTTCCCATTTTCCCCAATGGCGTCAAATTTTGCACATAATCCACCTATT